CTCCCCCCTCCCCATCCCCCACTCTCCCCCCCACTCGCAACCCTCCTGACCATTTCCTTGGTCCTCTATCTCCCCCCACCACCCCATCCCTCCAGGCGGGTCCGTCATCTCGCTGACCTACATCGCATCGGAGCAGATCATCCCCGGGTACGGCGGCGGCATGAGCTCCCACAAGGCTACTCTCGAGAGACATCCTGACCCCCACTCGTCTCTTCGCCCCCCACCACCACCTCTCTCCTTCCAGGCGGGTCCGTCATCTCGCTCACCTACATCGCATCGGAGCAGATCATCCCCGGGTACGGCGGAGGCATGAGCTCCCACGAGGCTACTCTCGATAGACATCCTGACCCCCACTCGTCTCTTCGCCCCCCACCACCACCTCTCTCCTTCCAGGCGGGTCCGTCATCTCGCTCACCTACATCGCATCGGAGCAGATCATCCCCGGGTACGGCGGAGGCATGAGCTCCGCCAAGGCGGCTCTTGAGAGCGACACGCGTGTGCTGGCGTGGGAGGCGGGGCGCAAGTACGGCATCCGCGTCAACACCATCTCTGCAGGTACTGCTAGTGGTAGAGCAGGGCGGGAATGCAAGTGTTATGGTATGGGTCAGCAGACTGACGCTCACATGTGCTGGCGTGGGAGTCGGGGCGCAAATACAGCATCCGCGTCAACACCATCTCTGCAGGTACTGCTTTGGGGCATGGCAGAAGGCAGTGCTGTGGCAAACGACCTCTACTTGCCCTAAACCCGAAACCCTGCTGTTGCCTGGTGTTTGTGGGATGCCAAAAAGGGCTCTGGAGAGCTACACGTGTGTGCTGGCGTGGGAGGCGGGGCGCAAGTATGGTATGGGACAGTAGAGAGATGGTGACATGTGCTGGCATGGGAGGCGGGGCACAAGAATGGCATCTGGGTCAACACCATCCTTGGTGGCTTAACCCCCCTCTACCCCACCTTCTCCCCCCCACCCTGGTAATCCCTCAGGCCCTCTCCGCAGCAGGGCGGCCAAGGCCATCGGCTTCATAGACAACATGATCAACTACTCCACCGCCAACGCGCCCCTCCCCAAGGAGCTTGACGCTGATGAGGTGGGCGCCACAGCAGCTTTCCTCGCTTCCCCTCTGGCCTCGGCTATCACTGGCGTGACGCTTTATGTTGACAATGGGCTGCACGCCATGGGTGTTGCTGTCGACAGCCCTGCCATTGCCAACGCCGGCAAGTAGGATGGCTGATACTGTGGGGGTTGTAACATTGTCTTATGAAAATACTGTCATTAACAAGTTTTGCCTCCCCTCTGGCCTCGGCTATCACTGGCGTGACGCTGTATGTTGACAATGGGCTGCACGCCATGGATGTTGCTGTTGACAGCCCGGCCATTGCCAATGCCGGGAAGTAGGAGAGTTGGTTCTTTGCTGTGTACGTTGTATAATGAAAATATGTGATACACATGTTTTGCTTGTCTGTGTGGCCTCTCTGGCCCTCTGCTATCACTGGAGTGACGCTGTATGTCTAAAATGGACTGCACACCATGTGTGATGCCGTGCCGTATTGAAAATGAGGGGATGCAGTAGAGATGATGGTACATTCGTTATGGATATCATGGATACCATGTGTGTTGCCATTGACAGCCTTACAAATGTCTGGATTATGGTGGTAAGTGGGGTTGGAAAAGCAGGCTTGGTTAGGTAGTGCAGACGGGAAGTACCATTCGGCGCTTGTACTACCGTACATGTTGCAATGCGAGTTGCCTTAGGTAGGAAAGCTACAAGAATTGCAGATCTAAAGGGTGCTTGGCAATGCTTGGATAACGTGAGAAGGTGATAGCTGATGAGCAACATCACACACCAGCGGATACGGGTACATGTGCCCTGTCCGTTGTGGACCAGGTGTGGAGGAAGTTCGTACCTCAGTGAAGTTTATGACGTCGTTACGATATAAGCGCAGCAACTCATGATCCCTGATAACTTGTGGGCATGACCGCGTCTCGTGTAATAAATAGCCAGTACATGACAGAATCTTACAAGATGGTATAGGTAATAGGGGCACTATACACTGAGAGACATGGCCCAGATACACAGTGCACACACTCAGGAAACAACAACCTTGGCCTTCATCTTACGGGCACAGTGATTCCCCACTGCACACCCAAAATAGAGGGTGGTTCCCTTCTGAATATTCTTCACAGGGTAGAAATAGTGGGCTCCAAAAATGCCAGTCTTGGGGTATAGCTGAGTCCCTAAGGTGAAGTCGCAATTGTCGTACGCTATCTTTGCAGGGAATTGCCACACGTCGTGCTACCCCAACCACTTGAATACTGCCAACATCCCAAGAGGATACCGAGTGTTAGGAGTTACTAGCAAAACACATCTACACACATTTTCAGAAATGATATGCAGCATTCTGAACAAAGCATGGAGAATATGGAGTACACCTACACAGAAGCCAGTCACTTACAAAGCTGGTCGCCTGGTTGGACTGTCCTAAATGGTTTCCATCCAGAAATTCCATACCGCCAGGGAGTAAAAATACCATAGCCCACTATGATGGTCTTTGCCTGGTAAAGAGAATGTAACGACGAGAGGGGAAGGTTGGAGGATTGTACCGTATAAGAATTTGGTATTTTATTTTCTGAAAGGTGCGCATGCAGCTCTAAATTTGCCAGAAAAAACGATTGCAGCAAGATTATTAAGGAGACCAGGAACGAGTTTCAGATGATGTTGGCGGGAATGCGGGTGGCCGTGGTGTAGTACCTCAGCCAATGCCGCGCCTGCAACGTCAAGAGGCTAATGGGAGAGCAGAATAGAGGTACGATTAGGACCGGACGAGTGTGGAGGCGTGCAAGCTAAGGCAAAACGTTGTTTTCGCATTTGCAGCAAAACGGAGGCAAGACTCATCGTGTAAGCTTACTCGAGAGTAAGACGGCAAGACCCATCCAACGGCGATATTGTTCGGAGACCTGCCGGGAGACACCTTCATCGCCATGCCACGGTGACCGTGAGTGAAAATATGCGCTAAAACGGAAGGTATACCTGCTGAATGGTGGTAAAGCTCAGCCGCCAAGAGTTGCAGAAAATACTAATTTGCGTGGACTGACTTCGACGCGGCGACCTGATGATTTAATTGTGAAAGAGACGCGAAGGTGTTATATACAGTACTGGTATGAGTAGTTGGCGCTTTCTGGCGCGATGTTTTCTTTCTTCCCCAGCGCCATATCGAGTGAGATGATGTGTCCATCACGGTGTGGCCTGCGTTGCAACAGGCGAAGCCATCGAGGCCTTCCCGACCGACCTGAGTGGTTCAGTCATCCAGGCGCGCTGCAAGGGGCTGCCTTAACTCGAGTGAAGTTAGGCGTTGGTAGGAGGCTGTAATATTGTCGGTGCTAGGTGTGTCAACGTCGGCATGGGGTGGGATGAAATGAAATTGGCAGGGACGAGGACCTGCTCGAAGGGTTCACTTTATTACGGTGAGATGCGATTTTGTGCGTGTTCAAACGGCTCTTTCCTACATCGCTACGTTTAGGTAGGGTTCGAGAAGTAACAAACACCTGCCCTAGCTGTAAATGCAGATTGGTGCGGTATTGTGTGATGGGGTGGGGTATGTGGGTGCGGCTGTAGAGGCTGGCAGGCTGCAAATGCACATTTTGGAATTTGGTGCAGAGGATGCGCAGCTCGCAGGGAGTGACGTGGCGCGTATGTGCAGACGACACTTGGCAAACAGATGTATACGCTTTACCAGCTGTATTACTGTACATTGTTTTAGCAATTTGGAGGTTTTACTACAACTTAAGAGAGTATTAAATATATACACTGCGTAAGAATGTCACGAATTTGTATTCGTTTTTACACGCACGCACAATGAACCAATCACAAGGCACGTGGACCCACTTTCACTGTCACGGTATTAGAACGAAGGGGAGTTGATTCAAAAGGAATGTTGCGCGAGCTCCCACAAACGAGGGAACCGACATATTCTCAAGATGCACCTGGCGACGGACAGCACGGCCAATAAGAACGCAGTACGACTTCGTCAAGGTTCGTTGTTGCGACTCTGTCGTCTCACTTCACCACGCCGTGCCACGTCGCATCGTATGCCCTCCACGACTTCCTTCCCTGAAGTCGTGCGAGCCAGCAAGCCTGGACAGCAAGCGGGTGCCCCCTGGGATGAATTGTGAGCAGGAATGCTGGGCAGTTAGAATCACCTGGTCATGTCGTGAAACTATTAGTACCACTCTGTAACACTAAATAACGCGATAAACCACTGCACAGAGCTCTGAAGGTTCTGGAAAGACTAAGACCGTGATCTACAGTAAACGACAGTGCTTCACACACCCTTACTGCAGGCCGCGAAAAGAGCCCTTGCAAACACCCTTGCCAAGGGCTCTTTGGATAAGGGCCGAATATGGTGTTGTAAGATCATCTGAGATACAGTACGGTCTCTATGTCACGGAGGCTTCAAGGCGAATAACCCAACACCACGCACCCACCATTCCACCAGTGACCCTTGATGGTGTCATGTGTGACTCGCGTCTAGGGTGTCATTTCAGCATGTACGCCATTTCACATTCATTCCTACCAGGACCGCCTAACATAGCTCTGCAGTGCTCGATTACCTGCCATCTGATACGAGAATAACACAAATGACACACACGGCCGACTCGTTTCCTCACTGATTGAACCCAAAGCCTCTCTAACAAAAATTATTGGCCATTCTGTTCCTCTGCTCATGCCGCGTAGAGTATTCTATGCAATACTGTATCGTCGAGGTCACCGTAGACTGGGACTGGGTCAAAGGTTCCTACTAGTGTTACACCCATTCGACTCCGACTGAAACAGGAGGTCCTCTGTCTATTCCCATTCAAGCCTTCATGATTTTTTTTTCCACTTCTTTTTTCTTTCAGCATTGGAAATAAAAACTGTAGCGTAGGTACTATATCGCCGAGCCGTGCGGTATTACTCTTCTTCGATTGATATCTTACACCGTCTTTAGTCCGTGTGACCTTCTTGCGATGGCGTCGTCCATGTCGCTCACCGACATCGCAGCCTTCGCAGCGTCGTCGCTCGTCGAGTTCGCAGAAGTCATCGTCATCGCCGTCGCCACGTCCGTCCCCGTCGCCGGCCTCTGTATAGGCGTCCCCGTCGTCCGCATAATCACCGCGTGCCTGCGCGGGCAGCGTACGCGTTTTAAGTACATTCGCTGGTGGCTAACGTGCGCCGTGTCGCTCCTGCTGCTCGTGAATCTCCTATTTCTGTCGGTCGGAATTGGCGCGCTTTGGCTGCAGATGCCGCCTGATCCGGCCGCCATGTCCAAGGGCACGTGCCGCGTCGTTTCTGCAGGTGAAAATAGATAGCATTATCGCTCGAACCCAAATGTCGTTCATTTGTTTCCATTCCCCCCCTTCTCCCCGCTCCACATCCCCCTTATTCCTCCCCCATGACCTCTAGGCATTTTCCTGCTTTCGCCATTTCCTAATCTTGCGACTACCCGATTTTCACAATGTCCTGATTTCGCCAGGGGTGGATCTGCGATCCGTCAAGCTGTGCACCGTCAACGACACCTCCTCCCCGTCATCGTTGCCAACCTGGTTACCATCTTCGCCACACACGTTGCAAGCCCCATCGCAAGCCTCACCACACCCCGCCCCTCGTCCATTCGCCTCCTCCCCTTACGCCACGCCTTCCCCTCCTCCCTCCTCCTCCCCCAACCTCCACTCGTCCGCCCACTCCTCCCTAACCTCCTGTCACTCCTCCTCCCCCTTTTCCTGCCCCTCCGCCTCCGCTTCCGCTTCCCCCTCCGCCTCCCCTTCCCCCTCCGCCTCCGCCTCCCCTCCCGCCAACCCCCCCTCCGCCCTCGCGTCCCTCTCCGCGTCGCTCCTCGCGCTCCTCCCGCAACCGGTGCTCTCCGCGCTGCCACTCTCCCCCTCCGCCACGCGCTGCCGCTTCACCTACTACTGGGCCGCGCTCATCCAGCTCGACCTCAACGTCTCCTTCCACTCGCCGTCCAACACGTGGCGCTCGCTGCGTCAGCACAGGCGGCAGAAAAGTCAACGCGGTCAACACAGTCAAGCGAGTCAACGCAGTCAACGAAGTCAACGCGTTCAAGAGGAGCAAGGGGAGGAATGGGAGGAAGGGGAGCAGGGGAGCATTACGACGATCCGGACCACCACGGCTCTCCCCGACCCGCTCTCCCTGTCCCTGCCGTTGTCCCAGTGCCGCCCGGACTTCAACGCTGCGTGGCGGGCCAAAGACAAGTACAAGGTGCGCTCCCCCTGCTGCTGCCACTCCCCCTGCTGCCATGCCCGCTGCTGCCACTCTCGCTGCTGCCACAGCCCCCGCCACTCCCGCAGGGTGCACGTGCCCGCCCCTCTTCTTCCCCTTCCATCCTAAACCGAATCCCCTCCTGCCCTTCTTCCCTCCCCCCATTTCCCCTTTCACCCCTTTTCCCCTCTCACCCCTTCTCCCTTTTTCTCCCGCTTCCCCCGCCCCCTCCCCGCCCAGGTGGCATCGCTGCACAAGTGCCTGTACGACCCGCGTCACCCCCACAGGGTGCACCTCATCCCTCTTGTCAAATCCATTCCCCCTCTTCCCCTGCACAACTCCCCCCCTACCACCCCCCATCCCCCGTCGTCCCTCCTTCCCGCCCCAGGTGGCATCGCTGCACAAGTGCCTGTACGACCCGCGCCACCCCCACAGGGTGCACCTCCCCCCGCCCCGCTCCATGCGCCAGTGCCCGCCTCCCCCGCGCCAGGGCATTTTCATGCACCTCGCTGCTACAGCCATCAGCAAGTGGTGAGTGTTTAAAAGCTTGAAAGGGCCTGTAGGGCACAGGCTGCTCGTGCCTGCCCCCCCACTGCTGCATGCCTCCATGCGCCAGTGCCCGCCTCCCCTACGCCAGGGCATTTTCATGCACCTCGCTGCTACCGCCATCACTAAGTGGTGAGTGCTGGCGAGGTTGGGTTCTGAGGGGTTGGAAGGGTCTAAGGGTCTGTGCGGCACTAGAGTTGCCTGCACCGCTCATGCCCACACGCCCCTTCCCCCCTCCTCCACCCCACCCACCCCCCCGCGCCAAAGCATATTCATGCACCTCGCTGCTGCCGCCATCACCAAGTGGTGAGCGTGGAGGTCGGGCTTTAACGTGGTGCAATGGTTGAAACTTGAAAGGGTTTGTTGGGCACTAGAGAGTAATTAAAAAAATCTCCTTCACGGGCTGTTACCTACCTACCCGCTACTTGCTCGATGCGCCACTCGCCCTTTCAACCCCCCAAATGCCCTCTTCCCCCTCGTCCCACCACCCAGTTTCTTCTGGTGGGCAATCTCTATCTGGGTCACATTCTTTTGAGACGTCTCATGAGACGTCTCAAAAATCTCTATCTGGGTCACATTCAAGACGTGCTTCCCTCTCCATCTAACCCTCACCCCCCACTCCCCTTGTCCCCATCCGCCTTAAAGTGTCCCCCCAGGTTCTTTTCAGACGAGTCCATATTCCAGCCGTCCTCCTCAGTGGGCAAGCTCTATCTGGGCCTCAGCCCTTCACGGGCCCTCCCTACTATGCCCAGACCCCTCATTCTCTCTCATGCGCCCATCCCCTGCCCCTGACTCTCTGTCCCCCAGGTTCTTTTCAGACGAGTCCATATTCCAGCCGTCCTCCTCGGTGGGAAAGCTCTATCTGGGCCTCAGCCTGGGCGTGCTGCTGGGAGTGCTGTGCTGCGTCGGCACGCACGTCTTTGGTCGCATCGTCGTGGCCCTTGACTGCTTCCAACCCCCAGCTTCCTCCCTTTTCGTCTCTGCGATTGAGGTAGGCTGCTTATTGAAGCGTCATGTGCCTGTTGCTGCTGGGTGTGCCCCTGCTCTTTCCCGCCTCCTCGTGCTGCTGGGAGTGCTCTGCTGTATCATCGGCACGCATGTCTTTGGTCGCATCATCATGGCATGACTGCTTCCAACCAACTGCCCTCCTCCTCCTTTTTTGTCTCTGCGATCGAGGTAATCTTTCGCACCGTGGTCTTAGAGAGACACTTGCAGGCGCCTGGCGCATGCATGCATGTGACCCATCCCCTCACACACTCATACTCGTGCCATGCATCCCTTCACACACACATGCTCATGCCATGCATCCCCTTCGTCTGCCCCCTTGCCCAGGTGAGCCGTGGGTTGCGCATCACGCTAGTCGGGAGATATCACTCAGCAATAAGCGAGGAGAGAAGGGAAAGTCGGAGAGACAGAGGGAGCAGCACCAGCAGCACCAGCTGCAGCAGTGGCTGCAGGGACAAGGACACAGACAGGGATAGCAACAACACCGCCAGCAACACCGCTAGCAGTAACTCCAGCAGTAGTAGAAGCAGCTTGCTACACACGCACGGATCCCTGACCCAGTCACTCGAAAAAATCCTGGGCTTTTGTGGCTCTTCCACTGCTTTATCCTTCACAGACACCCAGTTTCTCTCCAGCCACTCTCCAGACATTCACCACCCGCCCAACTTGCTCCATTCCGTGGGATCAGGGTCGGGATCTCTCTCTGATGAGCTGGAGGATCTCGATCTCTCCGAGAGCATTCTCAGCTGCTTCTGCCCCTCGCTAGTCGACAGCCCTTTTCTGGCGAAGAAGCACCCTGAGAATTCACCTGAGAGCGCACCTGATCGCTACCGCAAGGGGGATTTGTGCCGCTTGAGTGGTCTGGGCCGACCTGTAGCAGCAGGGGCGGAGGATGTTGAGCTGCTTTCCCTGCACCAGCAGGAGGAAAAGTCGCAGGCAGAGGCAGAGGCAGAGGCAGAGGCAGAGGCAGAGGCAGAGGCAGAGTTAGATGCAGAGGCAGAGAAAGAACCCGGGGGACAGGCACGATCGCAGCATCCACAGGGTCTGCCCGTCGATGCCTCACAAGCGCAACCGTTTCTGCGCTCAGAAGAAGAGAGCAGTGGGCTGGTTGTGCCGCAAGAACAGGCCTTGCCGCAAGAGCAGCCCATGGGTTATCAGCTAGTAAGTTGTTTGAGTCCAGCTGTGTGCTGTGAGGTATCGGGGGTAGAGGGCAATGGAGATGGTGCTGTCACAGCAGCAGCAGGTTCGGCGGCAAGTTCGGCAGCAGGTCCGGGAGTAGGTCCAGCAGCAGGTTTGGCAACAGCTCCGGCACCAGGGCTGGCTGCAGCTCCAGCGGTGGCTCTTCCAGGTTCAGAGGGTCTGGCTGATAGGGACCAGCAAGTGGCAGCAGTGCCACCACTACCACTCACACCTGCAGCAGCAGAGCCATCAGCCTTGATATCATCATCAGCATCAGTATCAGTGCCAGCATCATCAGGATCATCGTCCTCAGCAGCCATGCCAGCACTCTTGGCTCCTTTGTCAGTAGAAGCTGGGGCTTCAGGGTCAGCATTGTCGTCACCGCGAGTGGTAACCCTGCCTGCGCAACCACAGCAACGCTTGAAGCCTCTTTCGCCTAGGAATAGACGATACCCGTCGCCCACTTTCCTACTCCAGGCGCGCGCGCAAGCCTTGTGTTACATCGCGATAACGTGCGCAGTTGTTGGGCTCCTGGGTATTCTTCACGATACTGGATTAGTGCCGTTTCTAGATCCTTCTGGCGCGCCTGTGTTTCTGCAAGGGATAAATTCCTTGCTTCAGCAAGGGGGCTTGCCCTATGCCTCTGCAGCAGCTTTTGATGGCTCCTCCGGTGCTGACCGCTCTTCAGTATACCGCGACCATCGGCTTTTTATGTGAAGAAATGTGCACCTGTCCATGATAAACATACGAGACATATTTCTGTACATGTATATTAGAAAGGTTTGATTTGCAAGGCTTCTTGTATACGGCATCTATATGCACAGTCGTTATGATGTTATGCTCAGGAAATGTATTATTGCTGTTGCGTCTCGGACTCACCATCACAGTTGTAGGTTTGTTTTATTAGCAAACGTGAAGCCTGGTGGCCTCATTGGGTTCAGCGACCCAGTTCGGTGGTCCCCGCTGAGTCAGCGAAACGGCTCTCCTCCAAACCGAATCGCCCACGTGGTTCCTGAACCCACCCACTTTCGGTCTCATTGGTCCGTTCGAGCTTTTGAAACCGCGTCATGCTGTCAAGCCTGGCGCGGAGCGGAGCTCTCTCGCGAAGATCTTGCCGAGCACGCTTCCGCAACCTTCGCCTGGCCACACAGGCCAGCTTCCTTCTTCGAGACGTTTCTTCCTTGGGGTTTCATCCACGATAGGTTTGGCTCAGCAGAGCGGCCACAGCGCAGCACCTTTCTCAAGGGACAATGCCCTTTGGTGTTGTTGGAAGTATATAGTCAGCCTCCATATCTCAACACTCTTCATTCTTGAGCTAGGTTTCTGCTTGCCTGTCTACTACTTGCTTGTTCTAGCCTCCGTAGAGCCTGCTTGTTTGGTAATTCGGTAGTTTCCGTCAGCCACCATGCAAATCTTCGTGAAGACTCTCACCGGCAAGACTATTACCCTCGAGGTCGAGAGCAGCGATACTATTGACAATGTTAAGGCCAAGATCCAGGACAAGGAGGGGATTCCTCCTGACCAGCAGCGTCTGATTTTCGCTGGCAAGCAACTGGAGGATGGCCGTACTCTTGCGGACTACAATATCCAGAAGGAGTCTACGCTTCATCTGGTACTTCGGCTTCGCGGTGGCATGCAAATCTTCGTGAAGACTCTTACCGGCAAGACCATCACCTTGGAGGTTGAGAGCAGCGACACGATTGACAACGTTAAGGCGAAGATTCAGGATAAGGAGGGGATCCCCCCTGACCAGCAGCGTCTGATTTTCGCCGGCAAGCAGCTCGAGGACGGACGTACGTTGGCCGACTACAACATTCAGAAGGAGTCGACTCTGCATCTGGTGCTTCGCCTCCGCGGTGGCATGCAGATCTTCGTGAAGACTCTTACCGGGAAGACGATTACTCTGGAGGTTGAGAGCAGCGACACCATCGACAACGTGAAGGCGAAGATCCAGGATAAGGAAGGCATCCCCCCCGACCAGCAGCGCCTGATTTTCGCCGGCAAGCAGCTCGAGGACGGTCGCACGTTGGCTGACTACAATATCCAGAAGGAGTCAACCCTTCATCTGGTGCTCCGTCTTCGCGGAGGCATGCAAATTTTCGTGAAGACCTTGACGGGAAAGACCATCACCCTGGAGGTTGAGAGCAGCGACACCATCGACAACGTGAAGGCGAAGATCCAGGACAAAGAAGGCATTCCGCCTGACCAGCAGCGTCTGATTTTCGCCGGCAAGCAGCTCGAGGATGGCCGCACTTTGGCTGATTACAACATCCAGAAGGAGTCCACCCTCCATCTGGTGCTTCGCCTCCGTGGTGGTCAGTAGTGATCACCAGCTTAAGCTGGGTGGGAAGTGGTTGTGTTGTGATGAATGCCAGCTGGCCTTTCTGTGATTTGCTGTTCATAATGGTGTATTGAAAAGGCTTAGTACATTTGTACCCAACCCAAAGCAAGATTCGCTACTACTTCGTGATGGGCTCCTGTGCTTGTATTAGCGGCGCTAGCTGCACCATTCCTTGTACATGGTCACCATCCGGCCCATAACTAACCAGGTCAGTGCAATCTTTCAGACACCTTAAAACCAGGGTGCACATTCAACGCGGTTCGGCTTGAGATGTTGGGAAGGGGGTTTGGAGAAAAACAGTGATTGGCTCACGAGGGGCGACAAAAAAATGATTCCGCTAGAGCTTCGGGCATTTCGTAGGTGGCGGGAGGGGGTGAAATGGCGGGAGTGGGTGAAACCGAATGGCGGGAGGGATGAAACAGATTGGCGGGAGGGGGGGGAAACGAAATTGCGGGGGAGGGGGGAAACAAAATTGCGGGTGAGGGGGGAAACGAATTTCGACGGGGAGGGGGAAATGAAATTGCGGGGGCGTGGGGAAACGAAATTGCGGGGGAGGGGGGAAACGAATTTCGACTTGAAGGGGTTGAAAGCACACCTCGTAACCCACTCAGTCAAGGGATAACCTTTGATGCACATTCAGCTGAATGTGCACCCCGGTTTTAAATGAAATTCCCCATTCACTCTCCCTCTCTGGTACTAGCAAGCCCATGTTTGACAAATGGTTGACTACATACCGGTACCATATTCTACCACAAGGCAGTCACAATGCCATTTTTGTGTTGCTGTTATAACCCTCTACCAAATGCCATGTTTCATGAATATCAAGACGCAATGGCAGCACTGGCCTTCACCCTCTGCGGCTCCATCAGCCACCACCTCTGCAACACCAATCTCCACCCATGTCTCTCATCCACCACATCTTGTGGCGTGCTCAAGATGCAATGATAGCACCTGCCTTCTCCCTCTGCGGTTCAACAGCCACAGCATCAGCCACCACCTCTGCAGCACCCATTTCCTCCACCCGCCGTCCAAACGCAAGCTGAAAGATCTCATCGTAGTGCTCCACGAACCACGAATCCAGCCCCTCCCGCACATGCTCTGGCAGCTCCTCATAGTCTTTGCGGTTGGCCTTGGGGAACACAAGCAGCTTCACACCATTGCGGCGAGCGGCTATGGTCTTCTCCTTCACCTGTGGGAAGGGTGGGCAGTGAGCGACAGGAAACGAAGCTCTCAAGTGTATTGGCCGCTCCTTCTCATACGCCTTGCGGTTGCGCCAGTGACAGCATGGCAGTAATCATCATGCAGCCAGCAAGTCAACACAAGTCAAAGCAAGTCAAGGAAGTCAAGCAACTCACCCCTCCAATCGGCAGGACTCTGCCAGTCAAGGTCACTTCGCCAGTCATGGCCAGATCCGCCGTCACATGCCGCCCCAGTGCCAGAGACAGCATGGCAGTGATCATGGTGCAGCCGGCACTCGGGCCGTCCTTGGGCGTGGCCCCAGCCGACACGTGCATGTGCCTCCCAGTCACCAGCATAACAATAGCCACAGAACAACATACCGCAAGTCAAAGCAAGTCAAAGCAACTCACCCCTCCAATCGGCAGGACTCTGCCAGTCAAGGTCACTTCGCCAGTCATGGCCAGATCCGCCCGCACATGCCGCCCCAGTGCCAGAGACAGCATGGCAGTGATCATGGTGCAGCCGGCACTCGGGCCGTCCTTGGGCGTGGCCCCAGCCGGCACGTGCATGTGCATGTGCGCCTTTCGGAAGAACTCGCTGCCAGGGTCGGCCCGCGTGAGGATTTGCCTCGCGACTGTATGGGCTATGGTGGCGCTTTCCCTCATCACGTCTCCCAGCTGGCCCGTCAGCTCAAGGCTGCCTCTTTCCGCTGCCTGGGGTGGGGTCAACAAGACAGTAGGGAGAAAGACAGGGAGAGGGTGAGAATTCATGGTGCATCCAGCACTCGGGCCATCCTTGGGAGTGGCCCCTGCCGGCACGTGCATGTGCGCCTTTCAGAAGAACTCGCTGCCGGGGTCGGCGCGTGTGAGGATTTGTCGCGCCACCGTGTGCGCTATGGTGGCGCTCTCCCTCATCACGTCTCCCAGCTGGCCTGTGAGTTCGAGACTGCCTCTCTCTGCTGCCTATGTTTGGAGAGTGGAAAGGGAAGGAAAGGAGGGTGAGGATCTGTTGTGCCACCGTGTGCACTATGGTGGCGCTCTCCCTCATTACGTCTCCCAGCTGACCCGTGAGTTCGAGACTGCCTCTTTCCGCTGCCTGTGGGTTGGGGCGTAAGGGAATGGGATGGAAAGGGAAGGAAGAGAGGTTGAGAATCTGCCGCACCACCGTGTGTGCAATGATGACGTGTAGCGAGTGTGTGCAATGATGATGTGTGGCGAGTGTGTGCAATGATGACGTGTAGCGAGTGTGTGCAATGATGACGTGTAGCGAGGTTGTTTTTGAGACGTCTCGCTACACGTCGCACCACCGTGTGTGCAATGATGACGCACTCCCTCGTCACTTTATCCAACTGCCCACTCTCCCTCTCTCCGTGACATGCGCTCACTCTCTCACCAACCCACCTCACCCATCTCAACCCATCTCAACCGACCACAGCACCCTCCTCTCCTGCTCGATGAATGTTGCTTCCACATAGAGGGTGATCCCCCCATGGCAGTCCATGCCAGCCCAATGACCACACCCACTGGTAGAGTCACTGCTGCTGGAATCACCACTGCTAGAATCACTGCTACCACAGACGGCCTCCCCTCACCTGCTCAATGACTGTGGCTTCCACGTAGAGCGTCGATCCCCCCATGGCCGTCCATGCCAGCCCCATGACCACACCCACTGGCGTCTCATCATACATGCGCTCGCTCTGAAACACCGGCTGCCCCACATACTCCACCAACGTGCCCTCGTCCACCACTATCCTCTCCCTTTCCTCCTTCACACCCTCCTTAGCCACAATTTCAGCCTCCTTCCCAGCCTCATTCTCCCTCTCCTTGCCCTGCTTACCCTCCTCCCCGCCCCCATCAATGGCCCCTGGCCCTTCCTTCTCTCCCCGCCTCTCTCCCTCACCCCTCCTTTCCCCTTCGTCCCTCCTCTCCTCCAGCCCCTCCCCCCCATCCTCGGACAGCCGAGTGACTAAATCTAGAGCCCCCTCTGTCCCCTCCATAATCTTCTCCGCTATATCCATACTGTCTTTCCTGCTGCTGCTGCTGCTTGAATCACTAGTGCTGGAAATACTGCTGCTGAAATCACTGCTGCTGCTGCTGCCACTAGCACTGCTGGGGACAGAATCCTTGTCCTCTTCCCCATCCTCCAGTAGTCCTGCTGCTGCTGCCACAGCTACCTTCCTTCGCTCCTCCCTCTCCCCCTCCCTACGCACTATCTTCAATGCCACCTGCAAACCACGGAGATGGGGGAAGAGAGGGAGTGTGCGTGAACGTCAACATGCAACTCATACCCTCCCGTTCCTCCCCCTCCTCCCTCGTCCCTCTCTCCGCCCTTGATTTCAAGAACCACAAACTCATCCCTGCACCCTTCCCAGCAATAGAAATTCCTTACCTTGCGGTAAATCCTCTCGATGTGTTTCTGCAGGTTCCTCAGTACACCCCACCAAGCACCCCAGCAGGCCAGTTGGTCCAACCGGTCCATTGGCCCAACAGGCCAATTGGTCCGACAGGTCCATTGGCCCAACAAGCCAGTTGGTCCAACCATTCCATTGGCCCAACAGGTCAGTTGGTCCAACCGGTCCATTGGAGTAACTGACCAGTTGGCCCACGGGTCCATTGGCCCAACAGGCCAATTGGTCCAACCGGTCCATTGGTCCAACCGGTCCATTCGACCAACAGGCTAGTTGGTCCGCCCGGTCTATTAGCCCAACAGGCCAGTTGGTCCAACTGGTCCATTGGACCAACAGGACAGTTGGTCCAACCAGTCCATTGGACCAACAGGCTAGTTGGTCCAACCGGTCCATTGGCCAAACAGGGCAGTTGGTCCAACCGTTCCAGTGGCCCAACAGTCCAGTTGGTCCAACCCATCCATTGGCAAATCAGGCCAGTTGGTCCAACCGGTCCATTGGACCAACAGGCCAGTTGGTCCAACCGGTCCATTCACCGAACCGGGCAGTTGGTTCGACAGGTCCATTAGACCACCAGGCCAGTTGGTCCAACCGGTCCATTGGACCAACAGGCCAGTGGGTACAACCGGTCCAGTGGCCCAACATGCCAGTTGGTCCAACCGGTCCATTGGCCCAACAGGCCGTTGGTCCAACCGGTCCATTGGACCAACAGGCCAGTTGGTCCAACCGGTCCATTGGACCAACAGGCCAGTTGGTCCAACCGGTCCATTGGACCAACAGGCCAGTTAGTCCAACCGTTCCATTGGACCAACAGGCCAGTTGGTCCATCCGTTCCATTGGACCAACAGGCCAGATGGTCCAACCGGTCCATTGGCCCAACAGGCCAGTTGGTCCGACAGGTCCATTGGACCACCAGGCCAGTTGGTCCAACCGGTCATTTGGACCAACAGGCTAGATGGTCCAATCGGTCCATTGGCCGAACAGGCCAGTTCGTCCAACCGGTCCATTGGCCCAACAGGTCAGTTGGTCCAACCAGTCCATTGGACCAACAGGCCAGTTGGTCCAACCGGTCCATTGGACCAACACGCCAGTTGGTCCAACCGGTCCATTGGACCATTAGGCCAGTAAGTCCAACCGGTCCATTGGCCCAACAGGCCAGTTGGTTCAACCGGTCCATTGGCCCAACAGGCCAGTTTGTCCAACCGGTCCATTGGCCGATCAGGCCAGTTCGTCCAACCGGTCCATTGGCCCACCAGCCCGTCGTCCCCCGTCGCCCGTCCTGGCCAGCGCGGGCTGCGCCAGCCCCGAGCGCGGCCCGTACCGGCTGCGCCCGGCCCGCGCGCGGCCCGTACGGGCTGCGCCAGGCCCGCGCGTGGCCCGTACGGGTTGCGCCAGGCCCGCGCGCGGCTCGGGCCGCCTGCGCGCGGTTCGTCGGGCTGTGCCAGGCCCGTGGGCGGCCCGTTCCTCTCTGTCCCTGAGCTGCTCGCTGTCCCCCGTGCTTCTGACGGTGCCCCACCCCTACTGCTGCCCGTTCTCCTGAATTAGGGTTTGGGGGTGAGGAGTGTGGGGGTGGCGGTTGTGTGTTACTCCCCTTGCTCCTCCTCCTCCCTGGTCTCCCACTGCTGCAGCTGCCGCTGAGGGGGGTGGGTGTGCTGCACACCTCCCAAAACCCCTCCCAGCAAGCTCACACCTTGCGGGAAATCCTCTCGATGTGCTTCTCAGGTTCCTCACCCCGGCCTCTCTGCAATACGTCTCGATAAGCGAGTGTGGTGCACTCCGAAGCACAACCCTCAGCAACCCCCCCCTGCACACCTCCCAGCAAGCTCTCTACCTTGCAGTAGATCCTCTCGATGTGCTTCTGCAGGTTCCTCACACCCGATCAAGCACCCCAGCACCACTCCCAACACCCCAGCACACCTCCCTGCACCCTTCCCAGCAATAGAAATTCCTTACCTTGCGGTAGATCCTCTCGATGTGTTTCTGAAGGTTCCTCACGCCCGCTTCCCTACAATACGTCTCAATGAGTGAGTGCAGTGCATTATCCGTCACCAGCACCTGGTGGTTTCACGAGGAAAGAGGGCGGGTGAAGGAGGGAAGGGAGAGTGGTGAGGCGCCTCCAAAGGTTCCCCACGCCTGCTTCCCTGCAGTACGGTCTCGATCAGCGAGTGCAGTGAACCTTTGAGACGTCTCAGTATCCGACACCAGCACCTGGTGGTTTCAGAAGGAGGGAAGGGAAGGCGACGTGTGAGACTGGTGGCGCCAAGCAACTCTGCAAGCGCCTTCAAAGGTTCCCCACCCCAGCCTCCATGCGATTCAGCAGGGTGCGAGCGGTTTTTGAGAATTCTCAAAAACCAGGTTCCCCACCCCAGCCTCCATGCGATTCAGCAGGGTGCGAGCGAGGGTACTAGAGTGTGTGAAAGGGAGTGATAAGACCATTCGAGTAACAAGAGTGCGAGGAATTGCGTGGTAAAGTGTGCGAGAGAGCCCCCACCTGTTCTGGCTTCACGCCACACCCAGAGCGAGCAGCTGGTTCCAGGTACCCTCTAGCGATGTGGGTCTTCTCGTCTGAGATGTACCCCACCAGGCGAATCACCTCCATGCGATCCAGGAGGGGTGCTGGGATGGTCTCCAGCATGTTGGCCGTGCACACAAAGAGCACCTGAGGGGGAGATGGAGGTTAGAGGAGAGGGGGGAAGGGAGAGTGGGGAAAGGAAGGAGGTCGGTGGGAACATAAGCCGCCTTCTCATCTGAGATGTACCCCACCAAGCAAATCACCTTCATGCGATCCAGCAGGGGCGCTGGGATTGACTCCAGCATGTTGGCCGTGCACACAAAGAGCACCTGCGAAAACAGGTGGGATGAGGGAGGAGGGAAGGCGGGAGGAGGAGATGTGGGTCTTCTCATCTGAGATGTACCCCACCAGGCGGATCACCTCCATGCGATCCAAGAGAGGCGCTGGGATGGTCTCCAGCATGTTGGCCGTGCACACAAAGAGCACCTGAGGGGGAGAGGGATGGGACGACAGGAGGAGGTAGGAGGCCCGTAGCAACATGATTCGTTCGCCTTATGCAATATGAGACATGCCTCAGAGATGTGCCTCAGAGATGTGCCTCAGAGATGTGCCTCAGAGATGTGCCTCAGAGATGTGCCTCAGAGATGTGCCTCAGAGATGTGCCTCAGAGATGTGCCTCAGAGATGTGCCTCAGAGATGTGCCTCAGAGATGTGCCTCAGAGATGTGCCTCAGAGATGTGCCTCAGAGATGTGCCTCAGAGATGTGCCTCAGAGATGTGCCTCAGAGAAGTGCCTCAGAGATGTGCCTCAGAGATGTGCCTCAGAGATGTGCCTCAGAGATGTGCCTCAGAGATGTGCCTCAGAGATGTGCCTCAGAGATGTGCCTCAGAGATGTGCCTCAGAGATGTGCCTCAGAGATGTGCCTCAGAGATGTGCCTCAGAGATGTGCCTCAGAGATGTGCCTCAGAGATGTGCCTCAGAGATGTGCCTCAGAGATGTGCCTCAGAGATGTGCCTCAGAGATGTGCCTTGCAGACGTGCAAATTGCAGCAGACACACAGCACACACCGTGGAGAGGTCGAGGGGCACATCCAGGTAATGATCAAGAAACAATGCGTTCTGCTCCGTTCACTTGCACTTGCCACACTTGCCACACTTGCCACACTTGCCAGCTGGCAAGCGGTCAAGCGGCACTCTGCAGACCTTGGAGAGGTCGAGGGGCACGTCCAGGTAATGGTCTCGGAACGATGCATTCTGCTCCGGGCACTTGCACTTGCACACAAGCAACTGACACCAACAGCCACACAAGGCCCACCTTGGAGAGGACTAGCGGCACGTCCAGATAGGTGTCGAGGAATGATGCATTCTGGTCCGTGCACTTGAATGGTGCGCTAGACACACAGGGTTTCCTTGGATGGATCATGGGGCACACACACCGCTTACCTTGGATAGGTCCAGCAGCACGTCCAGGTAATGGTCCAGGAACGATGCGTTCTGCTCCGGGTCCAGCATCTCCATGAGCGCTCCTGCTGGATGCTCCAGCAGCATCTCCGGGTCGCCTGCATGGCCTCTACCCACTGGCACTTGCCACACTTGCACGACGCACATACACGGCATACCTTGGAGAGGTCCAGCGGCACGTCCAGATAGTGGTCAAGGAACGACGCATTCTGCTCCGGATCAAGCATCTCCAGTAGCGCTCCTGCTGGGTCCCCTGCATGGCCCCTACCCAACTGCCATGGAAGGAATGGGGAGTGGGGAAGTGGCGGAAACATGATGCGGCGAGAGCGGGTGTCGATCTTGTCAATGAGCACGAGAGGGTTGGCCATGCCCGTGGACTTGAGACACTGCACCATCTTGCCTGCTTGGCGCCCATCACCACACCCAACACCTCCACACCCCATTCCACTCCCCACGCACGCACCTTGTCGATCTCGTCAATGAGCACGAGAGGGTTGGCCACCCCTGTGGACTTGAGGCACTGCACCATCTTGCCTGGCATGGCGCCCACGTATGTGCGCCGGTGACCCTGCAGGGAGGAAAGGGAGTGACATGGGACAGACAGACATGGGTTGGTCAAGTGTTTTCATTTAGAGGACAACAATGGGGTTGCTTGCTCAGTGGCAGGCAGTGAAGCACTGCCCCATCTTGCCTGGCATGGCGCCCACATACGTTCGCCGGTGACCCTGAGGAGAGAGGTGGAGAAGACATGGGATTGGTAGAGGGAGGGTGGGAACACAAGGGAGCTGGCTGCATTGGGCAGGCCTTCAGGCACTGCCCCATCTTGAGGCATTGCACCCACATACGTGCGCCGGTGACCCTGAGGAGCAGGAGAGCGAAAGAGGACATGGGATGCAGGGAGGTTAAGAAATGAGGAATGGGTAACATGGGAGACGGGACTTCACACAGTGAACCAAATTTCAGCTTCCTTGTTCACATACGTGCGCCTTTTGAGGCGTCTCAAAAGTTTTCCTTGTTCACATACGTGCGCCTCCCCAGCTTTCAGGCTATCAGCAGGGGAGGCAAGAAGAGGTGCCCAAAATATGCATGGCGATTGAATGACGCACATGCTGATGTGTGTGTGGACACCCCAGACCACAAACCTTACCTTGATCTCTGCCACGTCAGACGAGCCCCACCTTGATCTCTGCCACGTCAGACAGCCCTCACCTTGATCTCTGCCACGTCAGACAGCCCTCCCACAGAGAAGCGGTAGAACTTGCGGTCCAGCGCGTTGGCAATAGAGCGACCAATGGACGTCTTCCCCACTCCTGGTGGGCCCACCAGACAGATGATCTTGCCTGATTAACAGCAACGACACACCAAGGGAAAAAAGAGATGAGAGACAAAGAGCGACAAGGGACGTGTGTGTGAGAAGCAGTAGAACTTGCGGTCCAGGGCGTTGGCAATGGAGCTACCAATGGACGCCTTCCCCACTCCCGGCGACCCCACCAGACAGATGATCTTGCCTGGATGATGTGGCGACACACACGGGGTAACAAGAGAAGATACAACGAGAGACAAATGAAGACTGGGGTGATGCGGGATGAGGGAGATAAGGGCCGAGAGTAGTGCAGCGGCAGTGCTGCAACAACCTTTCAACCTTTTCACAGAGATTGTCAGGCCAGAGCCCACCCACACACACACCAGCAACCCCACCTACCCAGCCCACCCCTTCACCCACATATACCATGCGTGCTGCCTTTCAACCTTTTCACAGAGATTGTCAGGCCAGAACCCACCCACACACCAGCAACCCTACCCCACCCACCCAGCCCACCCCGTCACCCACACATGCCGTGCATGCTGCCTTTCAGCCTTCCAACAGCAATGAACTCGAGAATGCGCTCCTTCACGTCCGTCAGCCCATAGTTATCCGCATCCAGCAGCACTCACACCCACCCACTCACACACTACCACTTACCTACTCACCACACACAGACACTCACACACCCGTCAGTGAAACCACACTCACCATGTGTGCTGCCTTTGAGTCGCCCCACAGCGATGAACCCCAGGATGCGTTCCTTCACATCCGTCAGCCCATAGTGATCAGCGTCCAGCACCTGCTGTGCCCTCACCCCCACCCACCCACTCTCTGCCGCACGCCCGCACCCCCACCCGCCCACACACTCGTACCGTGCGTGCTGCCTTTGAGCCTGCCAACAGCAATGAACTCGAGAATGCGCTCCTTCACGTCCGTCAGCCCATAATGGTCCGCATCCAGCACCTGCTGTGCCCGCACCACGTCCAGATTCTCCTCGCTGGGGGGGAAATTGGGCGGAGGGGGAACAAAGGAACGGGTGTATCAGCAAGTGGATGATGAATGAAGCAGCGCTTGGTGCTGAGCTAAGCAAGGGGACCACATTCAAGTGACTTTTGAGAATTCTCAAAAGGAGTGACTTTTGAGAATTCTCAAAAGGGACCACATTCTACACCAGTTGTTTTGATGCGTCCCTAAACTAAAAAAACTCTTCTGATCTCTGAGGTAGTTCCGATCGAGTCACGTTGAACTCCGACGAGCTACCCTCAACCAACCCACCCAACCCACCCACTCGCCCACCCACCCACCCGCTTGCCCGCCCGCCCGCCCACCCACTCACCCATTTACCCCCTACACCCCCCGCCCCCCTTGCCCCACCTGTAGTGCCCCCAGGGGATGGACGTGAGCCAGTCGAGGTAGTTCCGTGTCACGTTGAACTCAGACGAGCTCGCCTCCAGTCCTTGTAGCTTGGCCAGTTCGTCCTCTATCACCTGTTGGGTAGTGTGGAATGCGTCAGCAAACAAAGGGGTGTGCTGCTAAAACCCCCACCGCGCTTCTGAGAAGTTAAAGGAAAGTGGTGACATAGCCTTCCAGCCCTTGTAGCTTGGCCATCTCGTCCTCTCTCACCTGGTGGGGTGGAGATTATTGAATGCATGGAAAAGCAGAATGGAAAGATGTAGTCAAGGCTCTCTCTCACTTCTCATGCAACGGATCATCTCCATTCACGCATGAAAAGGCAGCACGAATGAACCGGAGATGGCAGCACCCGCAAAGGGAACGGGAGGAGAAAATAGGGGACATGCGTGCAAATAGGATGTCCTCCTCTCATGTCTTTTCTCATGTAGGGGACGTGTAGGGATGCGTGGAGAGGAGGACGTGTACCCATGTCCTCCTCTCATGTCTTTCGTCCGGTGTACAGGAGCAACAGAGAAAAGACTTGAAGACACCACGATGAAAAAAACACACTGCAACAACATTTACGCGTGTATCAAAATTTGAGGAATCTCAAACGGGATACACGTAAAGTGCGTCAATTTACCTTATCAATGGGAATGGAGTGGATTGCTGACATCGCCCTACCTGCATGGCTGCTGGCGGGCAGTGCTGCTGAAACGGCTGAAGCTTCTCCTTGAAACGACCTGGGCAGACACGGGATGGCATGGGATGGGGAGAGGCGAGCACGAGGCAGAAATATTGCGACGTCTCAGGACATGGGATGTGAGAGGCGAGAACAAAGTCTATTATTGTGGCGCCTCAAAATCAGTTGAGCTGAAACGGCTGAAGCTTCTCCTTGAAACGACCTGGGCAGACACGGGATGGCATGGGATGTGAGAGGTGAGTGAGAGGCGAGCAAGAGGCAGGAGTGTTGAGGACGTCTCAAGACATGGAATGTGGGAGGCTTGCACAAGTAATAGTTAGAGGCATTGCACAAGGGGCCTCAAAAGACCAAATCGGCATGACATGGCATATCTCAAAAGACCTAGACAAGTGCAGTTTTGTCGTCTTTCTCCAACCCCAGCTCCTGAGAAGCACCAAGCAAGCAGTGGAGATATGTGCAGTGATGGCACGGCGTGGCACCCAAACACAGCATGGCATCTCATGGCATGTCTTACTCACCGATGAGTGCAGTTTTGTCGTCTTTCTCCAACCCCAGCTCCTGAAAAGCACGAGAGGTAGAAGATGGGACGACAGAGCATCAAAAGAGGCAGAGAAAAGAATGAAGAAAACAAAGTCGCGGATAAATGTCCTCTCAGTTTTATATAAATTATTAGAAAATAGGGGGTTACATTCAACATTGACTCAAGCTGCTCCAAGCATTGTTCCCCTCTCACCTTCTTGATGGCCTTGAGCTGTTCCATGAGCATGTACCGGCGGCTCTCCCCCGCCAGTTTCTCCTCCACGCCCTTGGCGATGTTCGCCTGCCAATGCAGGGCGGCACAGATGAGGCGTGACGGGTAAGGGGGTTACGTTTAAAGGTGGGTCAAGGATACACACAGAGACAAGTGGGTCAAGGATCACCACAGAGAAAAGGCATAAGGACGGATAAGAACAGACGTGGTGAAAAGACAAAAGCAGCAAGTCGGATGCTCAGAATGCAAGAAGGCATCGTCTCACCTGCAGCTTGGCAAGCTCTAATTCCTATTTTTGAGTCGACTCAAAAATCGTCTCACCTGCAGCTTGGCCAGCTCTAATTCCTATTTTTGAGTCGACTCAAAAATCGTCTCACCTGCAGCTTGGCAAGCTCTAATTCCTATTTTTGAGTCGACTCAAAAATCGTCTCACCTGCAGCTTGGCAAGCTCTAATTCCTATTTTTGAGTCGACTCAAAAATCGTCTCACCTGCAGCTTGGCAAGCTCTAATTCCTATTTTTGAGTCGACTCAAAAATCGTCTCACCTGCAGCTTGGCAAGCTCTAATTCCTATTTTTGAGTCGACTCAAAAATCGTCTCACCTGCAGCTTGGCAAGCTCTAATTCCTATTTTTGAGTCGACTCAAAAATCGTCTCACCTGCACCTTGGCAAGCTCTAATTCCTATTTTTGAGTCGACTCAAAAATCGTCTCACCTGCAGCTTGGCAAGCTCTAATTCCTATTTTTGAGTCGACTCAAAAATCGTCTCACCTGCAGCTTGGCAAGCTCTAATTCCTATTTTTGAGTCGACTCAAAAGTCGTCTCACCTGCAGCTTGGCAAGCTCTAATTCCTATTTTTGAGTCGACTCAAAAGTCGTCTCACCTGCAGCTTGGCAAGCTCTAATTCCTATTTTTGAGTCGACTCAAAAATCGTCTCACCTGCAGCTTGGCAAGCTCTAATTCCTATTTTTGAGTCGACTCAAAAGTCGTCTCACCTGCAGCTTGGCAAGCTCTAATTCCTATTTTTGAGTCGACTCAAGAAGGCATCGTCTCACCTGCAGCTTGGCAAGCTCTAATTCCTATTTTTGAGTCGACTCAAAAGTCGTCTCACCTGCAGCTTGGCAAGCTCTAATTCCTATTTTTGAGTCGACTCAAAAGTCGTCTCACCTGCAGCTTGGCAAGCTCTAATTCCTATTTTTGAGTCGACTCAAAAATCGTCTCACCTGCAGCTTGGCAAGCTCTAATTCCTATTTTTGAGTCGACTCAAAAGTCGTCTCACCTGCAGCCTGGCAAGCTCTAATTCCTATTTTTGAGTCGACTCAAGAAGGCATCGTCTCACCTGCAGCTTGGCAAGTTCTAATTCCTTCTTGAGCAGCATGAGTGCAAGCGATAGCCGCTTGCCCACCTGGTAGTGCAGGGATGGAGGGGGAGATGGACAGGCGGGGGAAGAAAAGAGGAAGAAATGGGATGGTGGGTAAAAACCAAGTGCAGGATCAGACCTCTTCAGCTCTTCGAGTCCGGCACTTTGTGCAGCACCAGCAACTCATCTCTTTTGAGGGCACCAGCTCCCTTTTGAGCAGCATGAGTGCGAGCGAAGAACGCTTGCCGGCCTGGTGGTGCAAGGGATGGAGGGGGAGATGGACAGGCGGAGGGGAGAGATAGGAGGACGAAGTGGGATGGAGGGTCGAACAACAACAGTCCGTTCATATGCACAAGGCCACACAACAGGGAAAGGGGCAGACGCAAACCCACACACGCATGCATGTCCACACACCCATGCATGTCCACACACCCATGCATGTCCACACACCCATGCATGTCCACACACCCATGATGCCACAGCGACTCACATCCAGCTCCTCTAGCACCGACTGGAGTGTCGGCTCATCCGCAGTTGTCAGGGCAGCATCAAAGTCAGCCATGGCGTTGAACTCCCCCACGTGCTGCACAAACATGGCGATATGCTCCTTGTACAGCGGGTTGTGGGGGGGGGACCGGGGGTGAGGGTGACTTACGTCCAGCTCTTCCAGAACCGACTGGAGTGTCGGTTCATCGGCGGTCGTAAGCGCGGCACCAAAATCCGCCATTCTTGAGGCGTTGAACTCCCCCACGTGCTGCACGAACATGGCGATGTGCTCCTTGTACAGCGGGTTGTGCCTCACGAGATCCTTGAGCGTGCTCACCACCTCCATTACTGTGGCCTTGATCATCACGCTGTTGCTGTCGTATGGTAGATCCTGGCATTGGACATGGCATGGGCATGGCTCAACATGGTAAAGACAGCGGATAAGTAAGGATGAGAAGGGATGGTGGGAAAGGGCAAAGGCAGGGTTGTGCCTCACGAGGTCCTTGAGCGTGCTCGCCACCTCCATCACTGTGGCCTTTATCATCACACTGTTGCTGTTGTACGGCAAGTCCTGGCATGGGACATGGCATGGGGCATGGCGTGGCATGGCTTGGCATGGCTTGGCACAGCAAAGTATGGGAAGGAGGAGAAGGGATGACGGATGAGGGGAAAGGCAGCAGGTTGTGCTGCACACACGAGGTCCTGGAGCGTGCTCACCACCTCCATTACCGTCGCTGTGATCATCACACTACTATAAGCGGATGGCTGTAAGGAGGTCTTTGAGACTTCTCAAAAACCAGCTGTGATCATTACACTACTATCACCGGATGGCTGTAAGGAGGTCTTTGAGAATTCTCAAAAACCAGCTGTGATCATTACACTACTATCACCGGATGGCTGTAATGAGGTCTTTGAGAATTCTCAAAAACCAGCTGTGATCATTACACTAGTATCACTGGATGGCTGTAAGGAGGTCTTTGAGAATTCTAAAAAACCAGCTGTGATCATTACACTACTATCACCGGATGGCTGTAAGGAGGTCTTTGAGAATTCTCAAAAACCAGCTGTGATCATTACACTACTATCACCGGATGGCTGTAAGGAGGTCTTTGAGAATTCTCAAAAACCAGCTGTGATCATTACACTACTATCACCGGATGGCTGTAAGGAGGTCTTTGAGAATTCTAAAAAACCAGCTGTGATCATTACACTACTATCACCGGATGGCTGTAAGGAGGTCTTTGAGAATTCTCAAAAACCAGCTGTGATCATTACACTAGTATCACTGGATGGCTGTAAGGAGGTCTTTGAGAATTCTCAAAAACCAGCTGTGATCATTACACTACTATCACCGGATGGCTGTAAGGAGGTCTTTGAGAATTCTCAAAAACCAGCTGTGATCATTACACTACTATCACCGGATGGCTGTAAGGAGGTCTTTGAGAATTCTCAAAAACCAGCTGTGATCATTACACTACTATCACCGGATGGCTGTAAGGAGGTCTTTGAGAATTCTCAAAAACCAGCTGTGATCATTACACTACTATCACCGGATGGCTGTAAGGAGGTCTTTGAGAATTCTCAAAAACCAGCTGTGATCATTACACTACTATCACCGGATGGCTGTAAGGAGGTCTTTGAGAATTCTCAAAAACCAGCTGTGATCATTACACTACTATCACCGGATGGCTGTAATGAGGTCTTTGAGAATTCTCAAAAACCAGCTGTGATCATTACACTAGTATCACTGGATGGCTGTAAGGAGGTCTTTGAGAATTCTAAAAAACCAGCTGTGATCATTACACTACTATCACCGGATGGCTGTAAGGAGGTCTTTGAGAATTCTCAAAAACCAGCTGTGATCATTACACTACTATCACCGGATGGCTGTAAGGAGGTCTTTGAGAATTCTCAAAAACCAGCTGTGATCATTACACTACTATCACCGGATGGCTGTAAGGAGGTCTTTGAGAATTCTAAAAAACCAGCTGTGATCATTACACTACTATCACCGGATGGCTGTAAGGAGGTCTTTGAGAATTCTCAAAAACCAGCTGTGATCATTACACTAGTATCACTGGATGGCTGTAAGGAGGTCTTTGAGAATTCTCAAAAACCAGCTGTGATCATTACACTACTATCACCGGATGGCTGTAAGGAGGTCTTTGAGAATTCTCAAAAACCAGCTGTGATCATTACACTACTATCACCGGATGGCTGTAAGGAGGTCTTTGAGAATTCTCAAAAACCAGCTGTGATCATTACACTACTATCACCGGATGGCTGTAAGGAGGTCTTTGAGAATTCTCAAAAACCAGCTGTGATCATTACACTACTATCACCGGATGGCTGTAAGGAGGTCTTTGAGAATTCTCAAAAACCAGCTGTGATCATTACACTACTATCACCGGATGGCTGTAAGGAGGTCTTTGAGAATTCTCAAAAACCAGCTGTGATCATTACACTACTATCACCGGATGGCTGTAAGGAGGTCTTTGAGAATTCTAAAAAACCAGCTGTGATCATTACACTACTATCACCGGATGGCTGTAAGGAGGTCTTTGAGAATTCTCAAAAACCAGCTGTGATCGTTACACTACTATCACCGGATGGCTGTAAGGAGGTCTTTGAGAATTCTCAAAAACCAGCTGTGATCATTACACTACTATCACTGGATGGCTGTAAGGAGGTCTTTGAGAATTCTAAAAAACCAGCTGTGATCATCACATTACTATCACCGGATGGCTGTAAGGAGGTCTTTGAGAATTCTCAAAAACCAGCTGTGATCATTACACTACTAACACCGGATGGCTGTAAGGAGGTCTTTGAGAATTCTCAAAAACCAGCTGTGATCATTACACTACTATCACCGGATGGCTGTAAGGAGGTCTTTGAGAATTCTCAAAAACCAGCTGTGATCATCACACTACTATCACCGGATGGCTGTAAGGAGGTCTTTGAGAATTCTCAAAAACCAGCTGTGATCATTACACTACTATCACCGGATGGCTGTAAGGAGGTCTTTGAGAATTCTCAAAAACCAGCTGTGATCATTACACTACTATCACCGGATGGCTGTAAGGAGGTCGTCCCCCACCAGACCTATGAGCCTCACGCCACGAATCGCACAACGCAGCACTACAATTCCACCCCCACTAACCTCCCTCACCTTGACACCCATCCCCACCGTCACATACCCATCCCCACCTTGACATGGTCCACGGTGACAGTGAGTGGGTCGTCCCCCACCATGCCTGTCAGCCTCAGGTGCCGGTGCCCCATCAGCAGCACTGCCACTCCACCAGCTCTCCCACCCAAACCCACCTCCACCGCATCCCACCTTGACATGGTCAACGGTGACAGTGAGCGGGTCGTCCCCCACCATGCCTGTCAGCCTCAGGCGCCGGTGCCCCATCAGCAGCACCTGTGCTGAGTCGCCGTCCAGTGGCTTGATCACCTGCATCACCTGAAAGAAGAGGAGCAACAGGAGAAGTAAGAAGTGTAAGGTGTGTGTTCGCGCTTTTTATCTTTATCTTCAGATGTGTGGTTCAGCACAGCATCTGAGCCGACTTTTGAGGCGCCTCAAAAGTGAGCACAGCATCTGAGCCGCCGGTGCCCCATCAGCAGCACCTGCGCTGAGTCGCCGTCCAGTGGCTTGATCACCTGCATCACCTGCAGAGGGGAAGGGGAGAGGAGGGAGGAGGGGAAGGAGGGGGAGGAGAGGGAGGAGGGGGAGGAGTGCGGCAGGAGGACAGAGGTGGCTTGATCACCTGCATCAACTGCTTGGGCACGCTACAAATCTCTTCTGAACCCATCTCTCTCCACCGCTTCTCACCTGGGCGAACGTCCCTGTCTCATGCGGCCTGCCATAGAGCTCCCCTCCCTTGATAAACGCCTCCCCTCCATCCCATCGCCAGCATCAACCGCTTAAACACCACTCCAAACCATTACAGATCCCTTCAAAAAACCCTCTAAGACCACCGCTCTCCACCACTTCTCACCTGGGCGAACGTCCCTGTCTCATGCAGCCTGCCATACAGCTCCCCTCCCTTGATAAACGCCTCCCCTCTACTGCCACCCACCAGCATCATCAGCATTCATGGCTTTATCACAACTCTCCACCGTTTCTCACCTGGGCGAACGTCCCTGTCTCATGCAGCTTGCTATAAAGCTCCCTTCCCTTTATAAACGCCTCCCCCCCACCCCCACCGCCACCACCTTCCCCCTCTCCTGCCCCCTCTCCCACCCCCGCGCCTGCTCCTTCCGCCTGCCCCCCCCTCGCCCCTGCGCCCCCTCCGTGAACCACCCCCCCGCCCCACTCCTCCCCCACACCGTCACTCCTCTCCGGCCCCAACTCGCGCCTGTCACTGCTGCTGCTTGTGGCTGCTCCGTTTGCCCCATCTGCTCCCTCTGCTCCTGCTGTTCCAGCCGCGCTAGCTGAAGGATGAGCGGCAGAAGAAGAAGCAGCAGCGGCATGGTCGTCCCGAACTAGGAATGCGCCCACATAGGGCGTGCCTTGCGCCTTGAGCGCCTGCAGCGCCGCCACCAGCTTGGGGTTCTGCAGCCAAGGGTGGGGGGTGGGAGAGGGGGGAACAAGGGGGAAGAATGCGCATGGCCTGGCCGCACACCTTGACGATAACGGGGAATAGTGGTCTGCGCGTGAGCAGAAGCTAGGTGTGTTTTAAGTCAACTCAGAAACGGAACACACACGTGTCCCCACCTGGACGGTTATGGAAAAACAGAATGTACGCGCCCCCACCTTGACAATAACGGGGACATAGAAGCCTGGGAATAATGGTCTCCGCGTGAGCGGAATCGCGAGCACTTTGGGGTAATGCTCGGGGCGCGGACCCGCGGGGACGATGGACGTCTCTTCCGCCAGTCCCCCGCCTTCCCCCGCTCCTTCCCCCGCTGCGCCTTCCCCCATTACGAATTCCGCCCCGCCCTCCGCGGACGCGCCAGCATTTCCCACACCATTTGCCCCCACGGAATCTCCCCCCCGCGCAGCCACCTCAGCGTTCGCAGCCGCTGCAGCGGGAGCGGAAGAGGCTCCCCTGACTTCCGTGGCGGATCTGATCCGCGAATCACGCCGTCTGATGCGGCCGCGCCGGGCGCCATGATACCCAGCGTGCGCTACGGCATCCGCTGCGACTTCCTCCCCCACTGCTTCCGCCGACGCCTCACTAGCGGCGGCTTCCCCCGCCGCTTCCCCCGCCCCTTCCGCCGATGCTTCGGCCACGCGCGCGGATTCCCCTCCGCCTTCCGCAGCTACTTCCGCCGCAAGGCCCCTTCGCGCAGAATCCCCTTTCTCGCTTGAAATCGGCACGTCCGCCGCCGAATCCCCCTTCTTGCCTCCCGCATTATTCCCGTTCCCTGAATCTCCGCCGGAATTTGCGGTGAATCCGCGGATCCATGCTGTTCCGGCGGCGGCCTGAGCCTGATCCCAGAGGACTAAGACTCGGTACTGGACGGGCTGGAGCGCGCGGTGCGCTGCGGATGGGTGCAATGCGGTGCAGAGGACACGATTGAGGCGCCGTGGTAAGCACGGCTTTAGAGCTGCCAGCATGGCAACTAGGGAAGCAGGCACCAGGGCAACCTACTGCCTAACTACGCTGCCTACCAGGATCGTGAATTAGGCGACCAGTAGCATTGAAATGAAATGTGCTGATTCAGCAACAAACAAAGCAGGGTGGGCGAATGTCCGGACTCCAGACAGTTGCTTTGCTAAGAGGGTCGAATGCTGGATAATTGCATCTGAAAATGCTTAGCTAAGAATTGATAGAAGCAGCTTCAGTTGCGTGAATCAGAAGCGAGTCCACGTGGTAGGATGGTAACGCCTCTGTCGAATCGCCATGTTCGACCTGGAGCAAGGATTACCTACTAAGAGCAGTCTCGATAATGTGTAGACACGAGAAAGCCATAATATATAGCTGTACGAGCGTAATTACACATTGTCGAAAGCTGCTGAAATGGTAACCGCGCCTACTTGTAGGGGCCGAAACGCCATTTCTTCGCGCCACTTTCTGCCTTGTGGACCGCCACGAAGAATCCAGCGGTTCAAAAATGGCGGAGCGCTGCGATGATGGTAACCGCCTGCCCTCTGCAGATACTGAAAGTCAGCCAATCAACGCTCCAACAGACATCCACCGAGTTTCGCCGAGATCAAGTGATGATTTCACTTTCGCGCACGGAATCCGACCAATCCCCAGGAGGAACAAATAATCATCCGACGCCTGTCATCTGACAAGCGTGAGCGTAGGGCGGGAGGTTTCTGGAACCGACAAAAAGCATTGGGCATTGCTGTGTGGGGTTGTTGTGCGGTGCCACCGAGTCGCACATAACTCTCCGTTGGCATTGGCACCATTGACACCCACAACTCCTTTGTCATTCAAAAGTTAATGTAACCACTTTTTAATACTGTTAAACCGTTTTCACATCCTACCAAACCGTACTCTAGTGGAGTCTTCTGCCACCTCCTAGTGGATTCACACTCACTTGGAAAAACAATATCGTATGAGTGGAGCTCTTTTTACATTCCATGTCCGCAAAAGAAGGGGCACTGGCACAAGAAAGCTTTGACAAGAGAGCATCGATATGGGTTTGGGGATGTAGTTCTTTGAGCAACCGCTGGGCGTTGGAAGATAGTCTGCTGAATCTGCGAGGTTCGAGAAGTACAGGATGCTGAGGGGTTAGATCAAGCATCAGCCGGAGGCGGTGCCATCCGCTCCATGATAGCAACGCCTTCAGTGTTCATTCCGTCCCGCTCAGTTGTTGAAATCTACAGATATCCACAAACTATCCATCATATTATTCGTGAAAGAATGCACAGACTTCGAAAGTACCGTTCATCCCCGCGGCTGACTTCAATTTCAGCTCAGAGAGGTTCGGCTTTATGAAGTCATACTAGACAGACCTCATTCGTTACCGCGTTTGCTTGCGCTTTCGTCAACACACCTACTACTTGAGGCAATCACTTGATGCCACGGATCACGAAAGAATGAGTCCGAGTCGTTGTCACCCCGTCGAACCAAACACTCCCAGCAAAAGCACCAGCGTGGTCGGCGTGATAAGCAGCTGCTGGTCCATCCTAACCCCGAAGAACCTTCTCCCAGGAGACATCATTCTCGCTCTTCACCCTGTCACCGTCTCCCATTTCCCCGAAGACGCAACAGCACACGCGGTGATCCGTCAAGTGCGCAGTTTGCGTCGTCTGGTGGACATGGTTGCCTTGGGATGTGCCGTCGGAGCGTTTCGTGGATGCAAGGCGACTCTCACCGTGCTTCGAGGGACAAGGTAGTAGTGATAAATATTTTCGCCGTCTCACGATTCTCTCCTCTCTTTCGTTTCCCTGTCTTGTTTAGTTTAGTTATGTTTTTGCCTTTCCCGACTCGTTTGTTTTATTATTGATGTCGTTTGACCTCTTTTCTTCTGCCCTTATAGGAGAGCTGTAAATTCCATCTTTAACCCTTGTAACCGGATTAATCTCTCCTCCTGTGCAGCAAATTCATTATTGCAGTGGACATTTCGCCGTCAGCTTTGGTACAGGAAACCGCATCTCAAATCACGGAGGCTGAAGCAGCCCTACCCGGATTCCAATCAGCCTCCGGATCGTTCGTCTCCTTGCGGTTCATTCATTTTTCAAGGCGTGACTATAGCGGAAGGGAGCCATGAGCTGTTCGCTCCTCTTGCTAGAAAAACAGAAGCCACCATCCTCCGTTTCGATCGGGTCAAGGCTTTTCGACACGCCACCAGTAAAGCATGTTCGCGCCCTGTGAACCTTCCAGGAAGGCTCCCTTCGCCTGAGTTTCAGGAGAACCATCACAGGGGAAGGGCAGCAGTGGTGGTTGCTAGAGGCAGCGGTTCAGCTTCGCTGAAGGAATCACTGTGCATGAAGTTACCAGCGCAGGCTAGGAGGGAGGCAACTGCATGTCATGGCGGATTCGGTCTTGAGGATTTTCACGGGTCAGCTGGATACTGTATCGGTGTTGACGGCTCGTTTGGTGAATGCTTTGGCAAATTTGAAGCGTTTGTCAAACCGAGTGTTGGAAGAGATGAAAACGAGCCGCTGTACCGGCCGCTGCTGGTGGATTTCAGCCGCCAGAGGAGGGTTGGTGACATGGCAGCATTTGGATCTGCCTGTCAGGATGATGCTTCAGAATAAGGGGTTCAAGAAGCTTGCGACAATGGCGTTGGGGCTGTGGAGAGGGATGACTCATTAGGAGTAGGAAGGAGGGTCTTTTGTGGCACGGAGAATAGTGGGTGGCCGAGCACCGATCACACCATTGAGGATGGTGTTGGAGCAGCTGGAGGATGGGTGGTACCGTCGACTGGGCGGGCGTCATCAAATAAGCGGGCTCTAGTTTCGATTCTGAAGCCATGCATAGTACCACTGCAAACGGTATGTCTGTGGGCAACACACGCAGGTTTGCTTGCAGCTTTTCCTTTTGCATTCACAAGGCAGATGCGCACAGGAATGACAGAATCTCCATCTAGTGGTTGTTAGCTTGTCTGTCTCCAGCTCGCTGGCCTTGTGAATGTAAAAGGAGGAGCTTGATATGGTTTTACCTTATGTTTTGCGTCTTCACATGGTACTAATCTTGTCAGCATGGGTTCTGCTTCTATTAACCTTTTGCTGAACATTATTTCATTTACCTAACACACACTCAATCACAAACTCGTGTAGAAAACAGAGAACACCTAGCTCCTGTGGTAAATGTCAGGTATCTACCAGGCCTCACGTTTTCAGAGTAAATTACTCTGTTTCTCTGAAAATCAGAGTCATTTTTGAAAGTAACTCTGTACCCGCTGGGTAATTTTTTTGGGACTTCCGATTTCTCTGATTTGTCAGAGTTATGCTGTAGTTTACTCTGAGGCCTCTGGGTTTTTTTTTCGGGGACCGAATTTACTCTGTATAGGGAATACCTGCCGGCCCCCCCTCCCCCGCCCCCCTCCCCTCCCCACCTCCCCCTACGTTTAGCGGGTTTTCCCCGAATCGTCGAGATCATTCTCCTGATTTCTGTCGTGTGTTGGCGGCAATATGAGCACTGATTGGCTACCGTAGTTTGACAACTTTCCCAACCAGCGCACGATGCCAGCCAGTCCCCTCTCTCTTTATGTCTGAAGTGAACGTCGACGTTTCCCGACGAAACTTTGAGGGACGTCGAGGAATCCTGACGGTCGGAACGCTCAATCCGAGGGTTGAGATTCGCCAGCATTCCTCGACGAAACTGTACATCCGTCGACATTTCACTTCAGACACGCTCTTTGGGGGTGTCCGAAGTGAAACGTCGACATCCGTGGACATCCGTTTGGGGATGTCGGTAAATCCTGACGGTTGGAACTGTCGATCCGAGGGATGACATTTACCGACATCCAGCGACATCTATTGACGTTTCACTTCGGACACGCCCTTAGTCAGATTATCGGTGCCGCCAACACCTCACTCTGAAACATCGCAGTGAGGGGGGAAACGTGGGCGACGCGGAAATGCAAGTACAAAAGGCGTAACAAAAACCTATTAAGGTCATGGTACACCAAACTTAACTAACATCAGAGTAGAGAAAAATATCACTCTGACGTGCCTGGGTTTTTTTTTGAAAGTATAGGGTTACTCTGACAAATCAGAGTAAGGCGCAGGAACAACCCTAGATTTCAGAGTTGGGAAAAAAACTACTCTGGAAATCAGAGTACCTAAAATCCAAAAATAGGCCCTGGTATCTACACAGAAATGCTGCTACGCCATTGCCACCTTAGTCCGCAGCCAGCATCATTCCAATCAGCCAGCATTCTTCAGCCTTGTCCTCCAATTCGGCATGTCCAAAGGAGCTAATGTAAGAACAGCACCAGGCCCAACATTGTAATCTGACAGGAGCTTCTGCGCATACTTCATGTATGCTGTCTGACTCCCACAAAGAGAACCCTGGTTCAGGTTGCTGAACGGTTCCATCCAACGGCCCTCATGAAGCAGCATCTGCTGGGAGATAGGTATTCCCGTGGATTTTTTAATCGTGGACATGACGGACTCAACTGTTGTTTTAGGAGATTCGACTTCGAGGACGTAAAAGCTGCCATCGAGAGAGTTTCTTATCAGCAGCTGCATGGGAGTTGCGATCAATGAGGACCCTTCTCTCCTGCCAGATCAAACTCCAAGCTTGATCAGCTACACCAAACGCACCTGCGGTCCCAATTATTCGACTGTTGTGACGTGCTCCATAACTACTCAGGCACTGCACCAGAAGGTAGCCGGAGTCCAGGGCGAAAATTACGTGACCGATATTTGAACATGGTTTTTAGAGGTCCGGATTCCACGAGGTCCATGTCAGTAGTGAAGAGAAAAGTCATAAGGGTCACAAGTATCGAGCGCTTCGGCTCTGATGTTCTACTGAGGGGCAAGCACAACGTGGAACGATAAGACGGCATTAGGTTGCGGGTCAGCAGCATGCACGCTGAATCTCGAACCGCGAAAGTAATATTCGGACCGCATCTTCCGCTGAAGCACGTGGCGGACTCTAAATTACAGCTGTGACATGCGACATGCGACTTATTTACCTACTGTAATGGCTTCACGATTACACTCTCGAGAGTGATGTTTGGCTTGGGTGGTCTTAGAGCGTGTTCCTACGGGGCCCTTGTCAGACAAACTCTAGTCAGACTCGCCCCAATCACACAATTCTCAGTGTAAGGCGAATTCGTATTGGACGATTTTCTAGTCTTGCAACGTGCGTGAAATAATTCTAGCCTGGGTGATGTGGCACGTGGATTGCGAACAGCTTTCCTGTACTGCCCGAAAATCGGGAACATGGAGCTCAGTTTGAGAAAAAACGTCAGGTTTCGAATTTCACATTGTGGCATCCCAGAGAATCGTGAACAAATCGCTGGTGCCACAGTACAAATGCTGCCAGCTGAAAAACAAAACTGTAGCCCCATTCTCGACAAAACTGACCTGTGTTTGCACATGTTCAGCGCAGTCTCGGTGTGGTTTGCTGATGTGGCGCGATTGAAAGGTTTCGCGCGCGCGGATTCTAATCGCGCAATACAAGTCTGAAATTTGGTTTTAATAACGAAAATCTCGAGTTTCCACAAATCTGATATGGGGTAGGCCTGACAAGAGGCCGTAGGAACAGCTCTTAGAGCGTGGAAAATCTGGGCATATGGTTCGGTTCGGAAAAGTACCGCTCTGAAACGTATTGAAACCTACTTGAACAAAGCGCTTAAAAAATACACCATTCTCAAACGTATAAAAATCCCAAACGTTCCACAGCCATATGTGTGGTTGATCCTCGGGGGATTGTCTTGTCTGCTACCTACCTCCCGTACCTACCAACCTAGCCTGGCTTGCCGCGAACCTTGCAACATATCTACGTATGGAGACACTGGTCAACTCCGAACCTGAATAATGTAGCCTTGCCTGTCCGTCTTTGTTTGGCTGTCAGAGCGTGTCTGAAGTGAACGTCGACATTCCTCGACGAAACTTTGAGGGATGTCGAGGAATCCTGACGGTTGGAACACTCGATCCGAGGGTTGAAACTCACCGACATCTCGACGAGACTGTACATTCGTCGACGTTTTACTTCAGACACGCCCTTAGGGCGTGTCTGAAGTGCAAACGTCGAGTTTCGTCAAATTTCGTCGACGAAACTCATCCGTGGGACCCACGCGTGTTGGTGTCTGAAGTGCAGCCTGACATCCCTCGACGAAACTCGACGTTCGTGCACATGTCGAGGGATGTCGAACAGTGATACCGGGCAGCTGTTTGAGTCACTGTTGTCAGTGAGTGTTTCAAAAACAATTCTTCGACACGCCATGTCTGCATAGCTGTGGCAAACACACGTGAATAAGAACTAAGACGAGAGCGACACGTGCTAGAGAAATTTCGCTGGCAATGTGACAGTAGAATATCCGGTGTTACCAGCAACAATCTATGCTAAGCGAAATTCGCGAGATTGCAAACAATTGAGTTACATGAATGATTCTGTTAATTCCACGTCGAATTTTCATGGGCAACTTATAACAGTGTTCCTATGGCACGTGTGGGTTATTTTGTCGTGTGGGTGTCTGAAGTGAACACAGCTGAAAACGGATGTCGAGTTTCGTCAAGGAACGTCGACGAAAGTTTCGTCGGCAAACGTCGAAATTCACTTCAGACACGCCCTTACTCCGCGCCTCCTTCAGGGAGGGACCACCAATCGCACCAAAGAAGTCCCAGATTTGGTGGTTCGGTTATACTGTACTCTTCTGCCTTCCAGCTCACCATAGGCTCGGTACACGTGGTGGTGGCGACAGTGAACAGCTGGCTCCTGGTTGTTCACGCCTCACGCATTTGATTGGTTGATCGAATGCCATTAAACTGCTGCTACACCAGGTAGCTCACCCAGCCTCTCAGCTGCCAAACAAGACCCCCAACGCCTCAATTTCCATTTTTGTTCTCATCAGTTATTTCCCCCAAATTGGTGGGGCACGGTCGGGGTTTCATGCTCGAGAATCAGGAATCGGGACGAGTGTACAGAACTGTACAGCTGGTCGTCTCAGCTACCCCTTGTTGCGCATGGGAGTACACAACTTTCGTCTCCCTCCTCACTGTCCTACGGAGCACTACACCGTTCTATCTACTTCTATACCACAGAGAACAAACCTGAAACTTTGACCATGTCTCCAGCTGGTTTCTTTTAGAAGGGTGTTCGGCATTCCCAAAGGTGTTTCCCTCTCGTCCCTCTCTCTTTTTACCCCCCAAAACTCGAAAGGCTGGTTTCTTCAACTGCGAGGCCCCAACCTCAACTCTGATCTGAAGTCTCGTTACAGACAAACCCATGACAAATCCAGTAGAAACCGCCATGAGCAACACTCTTATCCGTGGAGCAGGCATGCACCTCACAGAACAGCAAGCAGGCCAGCAGCATGGTGTTGTCAAGTAACGGTTGCAACCAGAATGGCTGCACGCGAGGCAACTTGTCCCCTGTACTATTCCTCGCACTCACGAAACGAAAGCTTTGTTCTGCTTCAGGCATCCACATGTGACTCGCAGAATAAACCATTCCTGTCCCTCCTCTCCATTCCCCCTCGTCTGTGGTGGAAATCTCGGAGAATCAAGTGCCAAGAAACATCGTCGCCCCAGAAAGAGTGCATCGCCGCGAACGCATACATCAACCTGTTGGTCCGAGTCCTGTTTGCATTCCTTCGATTTCAACATCAACCCCCTTTCGTCTGAGATTCTGCGGTTTGTCACTTCGTGCAGTTGATCGGTTCTTGTACTTCGTAAGGCCTTCTAACTGTGGGATATCATCCTTCTGCGAGTCTTCTGTTCTGTCTGCTGACGTCTGTGTGCCATCCATCGCGGTTCGTGATTCACTGTAACTGCTAAACTGACCAAACACATCGCGCTCCACACTGCCAATGCCATCCCGTTTCTGCCTGGCCGTATGACCGTAGCTACTTATTAGCTTACGGGTAACCGTATCTCAGAACCATCCGCTAGCACAAACTCCTTTTTCTGCGTTGCGTCCTTCTCTCACAATTGATCACCAGGATTTTCGTTTCAAGGGATTCCGTATATTAGTCGGTGTACGGAAAATAGGCGTTCAAAAGGCACCGCCAATTAACTCACCTAGCATCGTTGTTTCTCCTCATAGGCGAGCTTCAAGTACGGCTTAGTAACAGCCAGTACTCCTTGACTGCTTTAAACTCACTCCAGAACTCTCTTAACCTCTCTGTACCTCGCCTATCGTCGCAATGCCTCTGTCCAAGCGTCCCGTCGACCGCCTCTACGGCGTGGGTGACGGCCGCACCGTCGTCCTAGCCGTCGACACATGCAAGGGTTGCATATCCGCGTTTGAAGACCTCCTAGCAACAGGCTACAAGTCCACCTCGTTCCTCGGTACGCACGAGAACCCCGCCGCGCGTGGAGAATTCCGCTTGTCTCCCGCGGACCGCCTAATTGTCGTCTTTCACCGCGGGCATCACCTTCCTTCTCCGCTGCTGCTCCGCCGCTCGCGGAGCGACGTCGCCGCGCAGCACCAGCAGCTGCTAACAATGCTTCCGCCGCTCACTTCCCCTCATCTCCCACCGACCGCGCAACCGTCCCCGCACCAAGCCTCCCCGCAAAAAACGGCCGCGGCGATGTTCTCATTCCTCGCAAGTCCCCGAACGCGGTCTGGCACGTCAAGCCAGCAGCAGCAGTCGCACCAGAAGGCACAGGGCCAGTGGCCGCGGTCTTTATCGGGTAGCCAGCAGCAACAGCAGCAGGAACGGCAGCACCAGCAGGTGCAGAATCTACATGCGCCAAATCACTGGCCCAGGTCGCGTTCAGAGGCGGGAGCAGGGGCAACAGCAGGCACCGCAATGGCGGACGGCAATTCACCCCCTCCTGTTGTCGGTACGTTCTTTCTTCGCCTCCTGAAGCCCTCAAAAGTTATTAAAATTGTGAACAGACTCAAAAGGAACCGCAATGGCGGACGCTAGTTCAGCCCTTTCCCGCCCCCTTCCCCCTCTCCGACGTTGGTACGTGCTTTTGTTGCCTTCGGAAAATCTCAAAATTGTCTCAATAGTGATAATTTTCAAAAGCGACCGCAATGGCGGAGGGTAGTTCACTCGCCCCGTGATGTCGGTACGTTCTTTCCTTGCCGTCTTGGGTTTCTTTGGTCATTGTGGTTAGTAATGCATGGGGTCCTCCCACTGACATCCTCTTTCTAACGTCTCGGTTACAGATCACCCCGTGGCGGCACAAAATCAGCAACTCGCCACGTCAACAGACAGCAAGGCTGACGTGGAAACCGTGGTTGTGGTCCCATCTACACCTGCTAAAGAGGTGACTGCGAAGCTCGCTCGATTTCACGGGCGGACGAAAGCGGCAGCGCTGAAAATGGCTGCCATGGCTCGGTCTTACAGGGTACGTATGTGTGTAGTGTGGAAGGTGTACCTTAGGTGCAGCATTGTAGCTTTAGCATGTTATGCATGGCGCGATGAGTGAAACCAAGTGCTGGCAAGGGTTAGGGGATCAGCATTTCCAAAGCAGATTCGCTAAGTGTCGTTTGTCTAAAAAAATTGTGAACACGAGGATCTGACGCCTTCCCTGTCCATCCTTGCAGGTGCGGTTTGAGGCAATTGACCTGGATGACCTCCAAGGATCAGCTGCTCTTGAACTCGGCACCACATCGCCCCAAATGGTTTCCAATTTCAGCCCAAGTTTGAAAAACAGAGGAGCTGGGTCAGGCTGGGATCCACATTCCCAGATGTCCCAGCAACAAGCAGCTGTCCCTGCAGCCCGGCTACCACAACCACTTCCGCATACCTGGGAAGGCACAGCTCAGGCGATCCTTGCTTTCTGTACTAGGATGGGTGCGGATCACTTGCTTCTGCCTGCCTCGCATGTGTGCGGGTTGAACATTGGGGCTTGGTTCTCCTGCCGGGGCTTGACGACACACTGTGTGAGGAATTCTCCGTGTCCAGTTACAAGGCTGGGCACCACCAACCGGACAACAGAGGGATTGCGGGTTCAAGTAGCATCCAGCTGAAAGGCAGGAAATAAGTCGTGCTATTTAGAGTTCGGTGTGAAAGGCAGGCTTTTGTGTGGACTGCCTGTCATGATCGGATCTTTGGGATGCATATTGCCTTGCACAGCTCGTGCACAGAAAGTTGTGTAGAAGCTTGCTAGATTGTAAAAGCAAATGCTTGTTGCCATATTGTGTTTGCTTGTTTCACATCAAGTGTGAAATCGAAGTCAACTTGCTGAAATTCTGTCGGTGCCTGGCTTTCTCTGCCAATAGCGCAGCCATCTGACGGCACCACGAATGGGCCGACAGCTTTGAATTGAGATGAATCACAAACCAGCAGAATCAGCCGGTCGTTACTCTATGCTTGTATGTCATTGGAGGTGAGCTCATGAACTGACGTCCGGCATCACCAGAGGACAGTTTGCAGTACCTCGGGTGTCACGACATTTCGGGAGATACAGCGAGTTTTGACGACAAAACCAGACCAGACCTACAAGCTGACGGTTTGGCGGACAAGCGAGGCAACCAAGGAACGAACGATGCCTTGGGATCTCCCGACGCCTGGGAAGCAGGGGTGGAGGAAGATGGACGGTTGGATTGGACCCTCAAAACTATCGGCATATGATCTGTCCTCCAGTCTCATCATCCAACCAGTTCCAACTGCCAGATAGCAGGTGAGAGAAAAGTGGTGGTCAAAGGAGCTTGGTACGGTGAAGATAAATTGACAACGGTAACACGGGGCGTCTGCTGAAGTAGTTGGTGCTGCATGGACATTTCCAAGGAGCTTGGCTTCGCTTCACCACCAGACCTTGGAAAGGTTTAGCTATGGAGTCGACCAGGGTTATGTCATAGCACTTGGATTGTGGTTCACTTCAGGGCAAGTCTGACAAGGTAGCAGGCTGGCCTAGGTTAGCTTAGAATAGCTAGGTCTTGTTTCGTGGTAGTAACCTCTGTGGTTTCCCATCTGACGGGTGATCTTCCTGTCCTTATTCTGTATCAAGGAAAGCCTACGGTGGAATCAGGAAGCACTCAGTCAGGCCAGGCCATCAGCACAGCTGACCACCCAACAGCGGCACGTTAGTGCTCTTGTAGTACTCGTTCGCCTCCTCGTCGTCAATCTCAGTGCACAGACATTAAGCAACCATGAGGCGACGACATGAGTCCACCTGGGAGAAGCTGTTCCACTATCGCGGGGTCATTGTCGTCGTATCCGTCCCCATCTTCCTCATTATCTTCATTATTCTATTTATGCCTCACGGAGAGCCAATCACGGACGACCGCGTCATCCATCACAGCGCGGCAGATGAGGTCAACAAGGCGGTGGCGAAAATGCAATCTGGAGGAGAGAACAAGTATGCCGTCATTATCGATGCCGGAAGCACTGGGAGCCGGATCCACGTGTACCAGTTCAACCCCAAACTCGAACTGATGGAGATCGGCGACGACTTGGAGTTGTTTGTTGCGGTACGTCTCCGTCCCTCTAACTAGCTTCAATACGGAAATTGGCTTCAAAGAACTAATAACAGCTGCAGTTATGGTTATCAGACATGCGTCCGCGTATCCATTCACTGCCATTTCAGATGGCTGCACATTTGTCAGTTGATGGTCCAGATCTTGTCCTCCAAGGACGTCATTTCATTATCTTGGCATTTTTTTCTTGTTCCTAATCCTTCCCCCTAATGTCTTCATGCGCACTTGAGGCCTTAACGTTTCTATTTCCTTATCATCTCTCCACTGACATGTCGATACTCGTAACTACTGTCGTCATCACCTGCGCTGCAGCTCAAGCCAGGTCTGAGCTCGTTCCGCGAAAACGAAAAGGGAGCGGCGGACTCGCTCCGTCCGCTCATCGACAAGGCGCTCACCGTCGTCCCCGAGGAAGTCCGCTCCACCACGCCCATCCGCGTCGGAGTGAGTCTCGTTATTGGAAATGCGGTACACCGCACAGTGTTAGCGTGACAAAGCGAGCTCCGATTCTCCTATACTTTCTTTTGATATCGTGATCCGTTGTGCTCGAGAGATTCGCTCTGAGATCTCAGGCCAGTCTGTCGTATTGTCTTGCTGAGAAGTACTGATATGCGAGCTGTTTTCCCTGTGCAGGCAACGGCTGGTCTGCGCCTTCTCCCTGGCGACCTCGCTGACAACATTCTCCAAGCCGTAAGCTTATTATTTTACGACCCGCCATTTTGGTTCTCGCTCATCTCCCTCCTTCCACACTGTTCAATTGCGTCCAATCTCTTGACCATCCCGTCACATGAGTCCTAATCGTTTGTTTCGTCTCTACCTTCTCACACGTCTGACTCGCCCTCTCGCTCTCTCAATATCTCGCTCTCCTCAGGTCCGCGAGATGCTCAAGGAGTACCCCTTCACCTTCGCTGCCGATTCCGTCAAGATTCTTGATGGCGCCGACGAGGGCTCCTTCGCGTGGGTGAGTGCCTGCCAGGGTTTCGTTCTTCACACAAAGGAAGATCGCTAGAAGCAGTCGCCTTTCCCTCCGTTGGTATGCGCGTCCTGATAGACTCGCTTGAATCCCGCTGTTGCATGAGAAATTTGTGCTGGAGGATGATTGTCAGTGCATGACCAGCTAAAACCCCTTGTCAGCCCAGGCTTTCGCTGTTCCTCGTCTGGCCTTTGCCTTCTTACCGTGTTCACCCCGTCAATTCCCTTCGCCAAAGTCCTAAACATATCTACCAAGCAACAGTAATCTCTCAATAAAACGCGGAGGTAAGTCTGAGACACCTGTGTCTGTGCGGCCTTGGCGAGGACATCGGTGTATGGCCTGGTTATTTTCATAACGGGCCCAGCATCCTCCGTCTCTCTCAACCTGCCATGCAGGTGGCGGTGAATTACCTCCTGGGCAGTCTCGGTAAGGACATGGCCCACATTCGTGTGGTGGATCTGGAGATTAAAAGTATGTTTCACTATCCTCCATTCATATCCTTGCTCCCTATAGGTGACGGTGAATTACCTCCTCCGCAACCTCTGCAAGGACATCAGCCACACGGTGAGGGTGGTTGATCTGGTTGATTGAGTATGTTCCACTATCCTCCCATACATATCAATCCGCCCGCGCTGCAGGTCACGGTGAACTACCTCCTGGGCAATCTCGGCAAGGACATCAGCCACACGGTGGGGGTGGTGGATCTGGGCGGCGGGTCCGTGCAGATGACGTACGCGGTGCCTGATGACGTGGCAGCGAAGGCGCCTGAGGGCTACGTTCGGAGGCTGAGCGGAATGGGCAAGACGTACGGGGTGTACGTGCACAGGTGAGAGCGAAAAGGGTTCTGGGGGGATGGACGAGACGTGGTTAAAAAGCATAGGCGAGGACGGAGAGGGTTTTTGAGGATGGGCAAGACTTGCGTGGTCAAGGTGCACAGGTCAGGGCAAAGTGGGTCCGACAGGTCTTTCAAGATGGCTGACAATGTGGCTCTGAAGGATTTAAAAAATAGTAGTTCCCTAAATCTGGGCAAGACGTAAGGTCCATGGGAACATGTGAGGCAGATACGGTATTCGCAAACGGTTGGCTGATGCAATTCAAGCCACGCCTAACAATGTGAAAATGTGTTTTGCCGTGGCGTGGTGGGTTAGGCAAGTGTGGTTGAGTCCATTTAGGTCTCGCTATGCAATTCAGAGGGCAGCAGCAGCAGTGTGGTAAGCATGCGCAGCTCAGTACGGGACAAACTTAGCAAGTCTCCCCTTGTATCCATCCATGCTCCATTGTTGCAAGCGCTTTGTGCCATCCCCCTCCCCATCCCTCAATGAACCCGCAGCTACCTGGGCTTCGGTCTGATGGCAGCTCGCGCTCAGGTGCTCAAGGCGAAGCCACCAGGCAGCGAGGGGCATGCATGCTTACCCAAGGGCACTGACGGTGAGTGGTAGGGAAGAGACAGAGAGGTGGTCGAGCAAAAACTCAAGCGAGTACCTTTCTTCTTCAGAACTATTAGTAGAGGTGGGTGGAACGGATACAGAGAGCCAACTGTGGCGAAGAAGCAAGTGGGAGCGTGTGTGGGACACACCTGGGATGAGCCTGAGAGCAAGTGGCAGTGACAGCAGTGGCGACGAGGGGTGAGGCAGAGAGAAGCGTGTGGGATGTATGCACATCTGGATGCGGCGTGCCTACTCACTGGCGGTGATGGTCAGTGGTGAGGCAGCGAGAGAGGATAGTGATATGTATATGCAAGCATGAATAAGAGGGGGGGGGGGGGGATTTGTGCCCCTGCCAAAGGCTAAAGATGGTGCATGGTGAGGCACAGAGAGGATAGCGATATCCTATGCAAGCATGGGTAAAAGGGAATAGTTAATTATGTGTGCCCCTGCTTTTGGCTAAATATGGCGCGTGGTGAGCAGCACGGATTGGAAAGAGTAATCTTGTGATGGTTAAGGTTCCAGGGGCCAATTGTGATCAGTTGAAGCAACGTGAATGAGAGGCATGCTCATGTGCCGAATAGCTCTGGCGTTGACTGGTGGGGCAAAGCAGGAGGAAGGAGCGTCTTCGTAGCTAGCTGATAGTGGTGTAAACACGCTGGCTGCTACAACCAGATAACGATTGGATGGGATGGAAGTACTATGAAAGTGTGTATAGCCCCTTACCCTTCCAACCAAACCCTCCCACCAGACAAGTACGTGCACTGCACAGAAAATGTCAAGGCAGATGCGCTGCCAGCAGGATGGAGTGCCACGGAGTGTGCAGAATCTCTGGTAATATCCCCAGCGGCACTTTCACCCCTCCCCCCTACTCCCCCCCCCCTCAACACCACCCCACCCCAACCAAACCCGCCCACCAGACAAGTACGTGTACGGCACAGATAAAGTAAGGCACAGGCGGTGCCAGCAGGAGGGAGTGCCAAGAGTGTGTAATATCTCTGCCTGTATCCCGTCTAACAATTTCACCCTCCCCCCTCATCACCCCCAACCCCCCTCCCCTACCCCCAAACCCACCCACCAGACAAGTACGTGTATGGCACAGAGGAGGTCCAGGCACAGGCGCTGCCGATGGGAGGGAGTGCAGCGGAGTGTGCGCTGCTGGCAGCAAAGGCGTTGGAACTGGGAGGGGCTCTTGCAGGCGACGCGGCTCCTGCATGCTCTTTCGAGGAGTGCACGTTCGGAGGGGTGTGGAGTGGTGGTCGCGGTCAGGGCGCATCCAAGCTCTTCATTGCTTCATACTTCTTTGACCGAGCAGGCCAGGTGAGTCAACTCCAAAATACTTCCAGAAGAAGGAGAAGAAAAAAAGAATTGAAAGCTCAATGTCGCCTCACACTTCTTTGGCTAGGCGGGCCAGGTAAGTTGCACCAAGTAGGCTGCTTTTGCTTCTTAATATCTTCGTCCAGGCTGGTCAAGCAAGGGAATATGGGATGCACAAACTGGACAGAGTGATAGCTTGCCAGTGTGGGATACACAAACTGGACTCTTCTCACTGCTTGTGAATGAACATGCACCTGATGGATTGTGTGAGCTGATCGTCATTGCCCTGATTTGTGTGTGATCAGATTCTGAGGTGTCAGCGCCTTTCAAAGCAAGGTGCATTGCAGTTGGGCCTCGATCCCCTTTTCCCTAACGCTCCCTCCACAATTTCCCGCCCTGTGCCTTGGCACAATTTCCTGCGTTCCCCTTCCTCCCCCCTCCGTTCCCTCACTCCCCCCTGCAGCTTGGTGTTATTCCCGACCCCAAGGCGTCATCAGCTCCTGTCAAGGCTAAGGACTTTGCCACTGCAGCTGAGGCTGCCTGTGCCACACCCTTGGAGGAAGTCACAAAGAAGTTTCCTGGAGTGGAGGGCAAGGACGCGCCGTACATGTGCTTGGACGTGGTGTACCAGCACAAGCTGCTCACTCATGGCTTCAGTAAGCATTACATTGATTTCGTTAACATTCATTCTATGTTACCATTTGGTGCTTCATTCTGTAGCTTTTGCCATTGCTGGCATATGATCCTGATTCCTGAATCTTTTGTTGGCTCTGTTTATCATCTACTGTATTTTTCAGGGATTGATGATTCAGCAGAACTTACGCTGGTGAAGCAGGTCACTTACAAGGGCAAGGATGTGGAGGCAGCTTGGCCACTTGGTGCTGCCATTGATGCAATTTCGTCTTAGAGTAGTCTTTTATTCAATGTCTGCTAAGGCTTGAGTGAATGCTGGAAATTGTGCTAGTAGTGAAAGTTTTTTAGGAAACCATCTGCAGCTCAGCTCGTAGCGTTTTACCCCCCAAGGTTTCCCTAGCTTTCCTCGTAACAACTTCTGTTCCAAACAAGTTGAGCTGCAGCACACATGGGGACACTACACTTTCAGACAACAAAGGGTTGAGACTACGTCTTTTTTTTTTTTTTTTTTTTTGCGAATGATAGTACACTAATAAGCGGCAGGGATTTGTGAATGGTCAATTGGTTGATGAGGGCTTCGATAGCGTCGCATATTTTCGTGTTGGCGCCTACCGCGATCTGCCGATCTGAATTTGCTCTGAGATTGGGATCATAGGTGATCGTGAAAAGTCGTCGAAAGTCGTATGGCGCTCGCTTGTTTCGAAGCTCCTTGCGGCTTTGATTGGCCGTGTCAGAGGTGTTAGCCTTGGACCACAAAAGATTGTGGTCAGCTTTGAAGCTGCCAGCTGCAAGCATACTGTCGAAAAAAGTGTTTGCTTTGCACTTTGTCATCGACCACGTGGACTCGACAGATCTTTTGTAAGAACAGATGGAAAGTGTCGGTTATTCGCTGTAATGTGTGCCGTGCTGTCCGAAGATCCTCTTAGTTGCTTCACCACTTGTGCCCCGGCCTCTTTGGAAATCCGCTTACGTGGACTCGTTTGACACCCGTCGAAGTTTCAGAGGCCTCTTTAATTACCACAAATTTCGACAGACCGTCCAAGGATAACGTAAAGTCCGGGTCAAAGAAGATAGAACTCTGCTTGGCTTGTGTGGCTCGAAGTTCATCGGCTCATTTGGGGGTCTGCTTTGTCGTTGTGCAATCCTCTGCGATTGTGGGTGTTTTTGGAGCCTATCTTGCTGCGACCTATTTGGAGCGCGAAAGCGACGTCTACATGGACCCATCGTGTGATAGCCCGCTGCTTGCGCCGAAAGTACAGGTGGACTTCCATTTGCGAAGTTTAACGCGGAAGGGGCGCGCTGACCTGTCATACTCTGTTGGAAGGCGTTTTACAGGCTGGATTTTTCAATATCCTCGCGGAGGGGTTACGGGGAGAGGGAGCAGTGAATGGAAGACCCTTCAACGCAACTAAACTGGGCACTGAAATTTCGGCACAAACGTTACTTCATATTTTAGGCCCCAATCGTGCACCACTTGTACAGACAATACTTCTACACCATCATATTATGTACCTGGTTTCAAAGCTTCCGTTTCCTTCCCGGATTTCAGAATGCCCGGCTTCAGGAACGCTCATAAGCGGAAGCAAATACGTCAGCGGACCCAGCACGAAGACTAATCTTCGCAAACCCAGCATTGTCCACACCACAACACGCTTCCACGAACCGCCCTCCGTGTGCCGTGGTGCGCTGTGATAGGTCTACGCGGTCGGCCATAAGACAGCGACGCGAAATACCTCATCTTGTCGTCGCATGTACGAGTTTCTTCCCCAGCCTCCCCTTCCCAGCGAGACACCCTCACTCGCTCAAAAAATGCCCCCACTCATTGTGATGACGACTCAGTGTCACGTTCCCTTTCACTTTACGCTTTATGCCCAAGCCCTGAAGCCAGTTAGGTGCATTGGTCGTCCTCCACTGGTTCTCGTCTACATCTGGCTCCGATTCAAAAGCCTTGGCACATTGCTCCTATTCGTTCACTGCGAAAGTTTAGCGCCATCTCAAACCCTTTCCTGTATTCTTCGTTCTACAAAGGCTTCTATCCTCCAGAGGCATTTTTGCTTTCTCTTCACCGCGCCGCAGCTTTAAACTCTTAAGTTTTCGGGAGCTTGTGGAAAGCATTGCTACACGACAATTCAGAAATAAACGCTGAATCCCCTTCCGATTTCGGATCACAATGGAGACACCTGGCATTGCAGCTTGCAACCAAGCATCAGCCACTACTAACAGTAATGCTGCTACTGGCGGGACTCGGCGCTCCTGTGATGTGCTAGAGCCCTTGTCGACTTCCGGCAATGCGACCAAGCGGCTACGACACTCCTACACGCAGAGTGCAAACCCAGCCCCAAGACTTCTTTCTGAATCTACAGAATTTGCTCAAGTTCGTCCGAACAGCGCTACGGCAGAAACGCCTTTATCAATAAGCTCTAATCTTCATGTGCCTCCAGTCTTCCCGGAGCTTCAAAGACGGCTCGAAGAATCGTTTGATTTGGACTCCGAAATTCTAGGCGCCGGCCAATTCGGCACGGTTCGACGGTGCGTTTGCAGGGAGACGGGTCAAGCTTTCGCGTGCAAGACGATTCAGAAGTCTCGGCTTCTCGACCAGTTCGTGAGAGATGAGGTGAAGATGGAGGTGCTGCTTATGCAACATCGTTTGAATCGGCTTCATTCTTCGGCCAACGCACCCCCTGCGGGCAACACGAGCGCTGGTTGCGATGAGAACAAAATGGCGAGCGCGCGACAAACGGAAGGCTCGCCGATGCGCGTGGCGCAACCGTCGCCCGGAGCTGCAGCAACCAGAGCAGCGACACATCCGGCGATTGTGCAGCTCCGTGCGGTCTTCGAGGACGACGCGGGAGTTCATCTCGTCATGGATTTGTGCGACTCTGGCGACCTGTACGACGAAGTTGTGCGACGGGGAAGGCTACCCGAAAAGGAGTCGGCGCTTCTGTTCCGACAAATCGCCTCAGCTCTCGCGTTTTGCCACTCAAGGGGTGTGATGCATCGCGACATGAAACCAGAAAATATTCTGCTCCATAAGCAAGGAGATGCTTCTAACCGGCTAACCGTGAAGCTTGCCGATTTTGGACTTGCGATCCCGCTTTCAGCCGGCGAAACTACTCGAGGAATTTCGGGTTCGACGTTTTACATGGCGCCTGAGGTGCTCTCAGGGGAGTACGGGCATTCTGCCGATGTATGGTCGCTTGGAGTTCTCCTCTTCACAATGCTAAGCGGTGCCGTTCCTTTTTTCGGGGATGACAATAGTGAGTCCACGGAGGCCGTCCTGAATGGACGTCTGGATTTTTCCTCACCGGAATGGGCGACGATTTCAGTCGAAGCGAAAGGGCTGATTCGCTGCATGCTACATCGAGATCCCCAGCGACGCCCTACCGCTTCGAAAGTATTATCCCATCCGTGGGTGCTGCTGAACGTTTTTGGCGGGAGAATTGTTCGGAGAACCGTTGCTCGTCCCCTTGAAAATGCCGTCAATACCCCGGAGAACAAGCGCAATGTCGACGCACAATGCCCGCAACAACAACACTTCCGGCCACAACCTCTGCGCCAGCCTGCAGCGGCAGTTCTTGGGAATAGTTTGTGTCTTGAGCAAGGGCAGCGCACAGCCCAAGATGCTTGCCAGGGGCATCTTCATGGGCTTGTATCTATGGTCCAGCCCGGGGATTACGTGAGAACGTCTGCCTGATGATGTAATGTATTCAATGGCTATACTTTTCTGTACATGATGCAAACTTTTATAGAACCTACACATCCCATCCCAACCTGTACTACCGTACCTGCATTGGCTCCTCAAGATAGAATGTCACCCTCCAAATTGTTGGAAACAAGTAACTTGAACGCTTCTGAAGTATCGAAGTATCGACACGAAACGGAGCAGACTACAGCGAAACAACACACGAGTCGACAAACGCAACCGCTGGAGGTTACGCGAAGGTACAAAAAGTACAGCGCAACAGCAAGTACACATAACTGACTCAATACTGAGCAGTTACCCGAGTCGTCACTGTATCGAACCGCAACAGCAGAAAACAGTTGAAGTATAACTTTTCATATTCTTTGTAATCATATAAAAGCCTTATATGTCTTTGCTATTATCAACTTATCTTGTTCCCACACACCAGTGCAAGGTGGTTCAAGTATTCTTATTATTACGCCTCCGCAAACTACAACATTCCTACTTTAAGATATTAGCCTTGAACGATCCTAAGGGCTATTTCTCAGCCCAACACAAATCACACTATCCCTCTGTTGCATCTAGAACCATTCGCATTTGAGGACGGAACCTTGTTAAAATACCGTAGATATTCTCAGTGTCAAACAAGGATTTCGAGTAGAAAATCGTTTTGTTTAAACGCAAAGATACACTATAAGTACACAATAAGTCAAAAAACAACTTACCATAACTGGTTGCTTGAAATGTATGGTCCATGTAGGGATGTTATATAACCTGTATATGTGTCGGAATGTACCAATAGATACACTTGTTGTTGAGGAATCAGTTTATTGCATTAAACTCGGCGTTCTGTCATGACCCAGAAATATCAGACGTTCTGAAGAACCCTCTGTTGAGATCTCGATGACACGTGAGCAACACCGTCCCAGTTGTGTGATTGATACCAAAACTTTTTCGTTGGTCCCACCATCTTTGGAGTATGTATTTTCTGATTACTTTCCGCCACTCTTGTGCTGACCGCCATTTCTTTGCACGCGGCCCGTCTCCAAAACTTCGAACTTTGGTTGGACGGTCACGAGATGGGCAGCACATGCAGAATTGGCGGAAGATCCTTGGTAGCACGAGCTCATAATTGCAAAAGCACCAATAGCGCAGAAAATCTATGCGCTGGCGCTGTACGTGTTATTCTATCGAGGGATTAGGGGCAGTGGAACCAACTCTGGCCACACATGCAACCACCATAATTTCGCAGGCTGTATGGGGGGTTTTGGCCAACAATAAATAATTTGCTTGCCCTGCCCCGGTTTGGTCCTTGTCGTCCCTGCAACGCAGTTTCTACCATCCAATGAGATCTTCTTGAGGCTTCACCACCGAACCACCTCGCCCCTCCTCGCCTGCTCCTCCTCACCATTCCCCTTCTCCCCGAATAGCCCCTCTGTCATTTCTTTTCCCCGCGCCTGGACCCCCCCCCACTCCCCCTTCCACAGTCTACCTCTTCCTCCCCCATCATTTCACCTGGAACTTGCGCAATGCCTCTCCCCTACCCTTCCCCTTCCACGCTCCGCCCCTTCCGCCAAACCACACTCCCTCCTCCATCGAACCCATTGGCCCTTGATGGTCTTGTTAGCTGTCATCTGAACCGTTCATCCTCAACTCTGGGGATCTACACAACCATGGTAATCCCAATGCCCCGCGCAGTATTTCTTTCTATGAACCTCCGTTTCTTTAAAGCCCGAGTCTAGAATGGCAACTTTTCAAGTTCAAGATTCTTGAACTTGAATTCGCCTCCCCTCCCGTCGCCTTTTAGGTGGCTCTCCCTTCCCGCGTCCGTCGCCCACGCTTACTCTGAGTGTCTCCCACGCTCTCCCATCATGTCGGTGACCTTCACATGACCATCGCTTGCTCATTCCGTCGCTTTCCCAACACCTTTCAAGTTCAGTATTCTTGAAGCCTTACCATTCTAGACTCGGGTTTTAATTGTTTCATCACAGCTCACTAGTTATCTTTGTAAAGGCTTCAATCCTGCAGATGTTTTCTCCACAAGCGCCTTGAGCAAGACGAGTCTGTCAAGTTTATTCCTCGCAGTCAATTTCAAGTCGACCACGCGTATCTTTTCCTAGTAACCGCGTATCTCAACCACAACCTCTGTTTTGACGAACAACGCCATGTCGAAGCCAGTCGCCATGGGTAGCCTTCGCGCTGCCAGTCGCGACGGCATGTCTTCCACGTCCTTCTTATCTCACCTAAAGCTCCGGCCTTCAACGTACCGTGGCTCGACTTCCGTATCTTTCCGCGTCGGTCCGTCCATCCGCGCCGTTCTGGACAAACCGTCGAGCAACACCAGCGGTGGAAGCAGCGGCAGTACCAGCGGCAATGGCAGCGGAAGCCGCTTTACCCGAAGCGGTACCGGCCAAGATTCCTTGGACATCGCTCGCGCCGCATTGGAGCGGCTATTCTCGCAGAACTACCGCCAACATCACAAGACCGAGGTGGATTCCACGAGGTTTCTTGAAGACGCGATTGCTCAGCTCGAAATGGATCTTTCTACGGTCTTCGAGGCCATGCGCGAGAAAGAGGAGGAGCTTGCAGAGTCTGAGCAACGGCTGCTCTTCGACCGGGATAACCTCGAGACGGCACGCGAACTCATCCAGGAGCGTGAGGCTCGTCTTGCTGAAATCCAGACGTCTCAGTTGTCTTTACGGGAAGACGCGGAGAAGATCCGTTCGAAGCTGGCGGAACAGACGGAGGAGCTGGTAGCGGCTCGCAAGGAAGTCGACTTGAGGAATAAGGAGATTCGCGAGGCCAAAGAGGGGTTGGGTAAGAAGGAAGAGGAGATCACTCGGGCTCATTCGGCGATTCGAGCAAGGAATGAGAAGTTGAGGCTTGCCGAAGCTCAGCTTCAGGCTCAGGAGAGCCAGCTTGTAGCTTCGACAGCGGAGGTTCGGCAATTGCGGTTGGATCTGAGATCTGCGGTTGCCGAAAAGAAACGGTTGCAGGAGGAGCTGGAAGATTCGCAAAAGGAGCTGCGTCGGCAGGAGGGTAAACTGACCGCTATGGAATCAGATTTGGAGAAAAGAAGCGGCATTGTGACAGCTGCGCAGAAGGAGATTAAGATTCTTCAGAAGCATCTGAAGAACTCCGGAGTAACGGGAGAGGCTGCGTCCCGCGAGCTCGCTCAAGCCAAGTCAATGATTGGTGCGGTGAAGGCCGAGTTGAAGGTGTCGAACGAAGCTCTGAGCAAATTCCGTTTCGAGGTTCATGAGCTGAAAGCCGCCGTCTCGAGACAGGAACGCGAAGCGACCAACGCGTCGATGCTTTTGAAAAAGCGGGAACGGGAGCTCGAACGAGCGAATGCGGAACTCGCAAAGGAGAAGGCGACGTTGCAAGAAGGTCGCGCCTCGGTTCTGGATCTCGAGACTAAGTTAAAGCACGAGATGGACGCCTGCGAGACGCTCGCAACGGAGGTCCGGGACGCGAGGTCGAAGCTTCGCACAGCCATGTCTGAAGCTTCCGAGCTCCGTAAATCCGTCCGGCAGGCGGAGTCTGAACTCTCAGACGCTAAAATCTCCCTCCAGTTGAAAGAAGCAGAACTCGTGGGGCTCCGCCTGGAGCTGCAAGAAACTGCATCGGATCTGTCTATAGCGAAGCAGGACCTCACAACCCGGTCAGAGGAGCTCAACGCCGCGGCAAGCGCGCTGGAGGGTCTTCGCCGGGAGCTGGCAGCAGTGAAGCTGGAGCTTCAAGTTAAAGATGAGAGAGTCGCGGCGTCCGATAAGGCTCTAGAGATGCGGGAGGAAACGATTGGGGCGATGGAGGTGAAGCTGGAAGGCAGCAACGCGCGCCTGGCGGCGGCGGAGACTGTAGTGGAGCAGATTGCGGAGCTCTCGCGCAAGCTTGCGGATTCCGCGCTCGCCGCCGGGGGGTTCGACATGCGGGTGCTGCCGTCCGGGAGAGCGGTGCAGAGTGGTGGTGCGGGGTCGGTGGGGTTGAGAGGCGGGAAGATGCTGGTGGGGGAGAGCGTGCTGCTGGCGGAGACGAACCGAGAGTTGTTTGCGGCGAGCCGGGCGCTGCTGGAGAAGGAGCATGGGATGCAGCTGCTGCAGGTAGGCCGTGCTGATGCTCTCTCCTTCAATCGCCCTGACCTGCTGGCAATTCCATTCCAAATGTCCCCACCTCCCCCACTTCCTCCCTCTTGCTCCCCGTTTCTCCGTCTCTCTATGTCTATCTCCCGCGGTACCCTCCACCCGCTCCCCTTCCGTGTCCGTTTCTGTCTCTCCGCCTCATTTCCTTCCATTCTTATCCAATCCTTCGCCAAATCCTGCTCCCAAGCAGGAGCAAGAACAAGAGCAGCGATCGCAGAACGAGCGCCTAATGGAGCAGCTCCGGGCGGCAAGGGCGGCGCTGGGAGAGAAGCAAACCGAGCTAGATTCCGTGAAATCGCTCCTAGCCGAGCGCGAGGAGGAGATCCGGCAGCTGACGGCGCGGTGGGAGGAACGGGAAGCTGCGCTGACGGCCATGCGCGTGGAGGTGATCAGCGGAGCCAGGGAGATTGCACAGCTGCGGGACGTGATCAAATCCGCGTCCTCGCGCCAGGCAGGGCAGGGCGAGGGGGCAGAAAAGGTGTCGCAGGCGGATCTGGTGGCGCATGAAGTGGTGAAGCTGGAACTGGAGGTGAGCTCACTTTAACCATGCTACGGCCTGCCTGAACGCCCTCTGTCCCGTGAGCGCCCTCTGTCCCCTCCTGACACCTCCCACGGCTTTGTTTAGCGTGACTACCCATCCACTGCCCCTGTTCTCAACCATTTCCCATGTGCCTCCCTCCCGTTCCTCCCCATCCCGCCTTTCCTCCCTCTGGTGTCCAGGTGGCGAAGGTGGAGGTTGAAACAGCAATGTCAGCCCTGCAGGGCATGGCCGATCTGAGCGCACAGCTCAAAGCAGACGCAGACGACCGCATGCTGCTGCTGCCCGCATCCTCACTCGGTTCCGCCACCGCCTCCGCCAGTCAACTACACTCTTGTCTCGCTCTGGCCTCTGCTGATGTTGTCAGAGCAGTGGGGAGTGCTGCCCCCCAAATGGGGGGAGAGGAGGAGGAGGAGCAGCAGCGGGTGCAACTGCAGCAGCAGAAGGAGCGGGAGGAGAAGAGGCAGAGGGAAGAGAAGCAGGAGGAGGCACGGATGCAGCAGCAGCTGCAGGAGAGGGACAATGCGTGGCGCATGGCAGTGCGTGCCATGTCCAACCTCACACGTCTCACACAGAAGCTAGCAGCTGACGCACAGGCGGAGTTCTCAGGAGAAGAGCCCGTGCTGCAGATGTAGGCACCAGCTGGTGCTGGTGTCTGCTCTGCGCATGGCAGTGCGTGCCATATCCTACCTCAAGCGCCTCACACAGAAGTTTGCCGCTGATGCACAGACGTGCTGCAGATGTAGGCACATTCGCTGGAGGCTATGGTGCTGGGATTGTGGGGGATGGTCTTGCATGCTTGTGCTGCCTGTATGCTATTTGAGACTGGTGCATGGTGCATGTTGCTCTACTAGCTGTCCTGCACTGGGGAACTGAAACTTCATAACTGTGCAGCTGGTTGTGTGCATGCTTGCTGTGGGGGCTTCGGCATTCTAATACGGTATGTTATACTCTCTTCGTTAGGGGGCTAGAGGACAGGGTCAGTGGCAGACTCCTTGTGTTGACGCGTAGGACAGAACCTGTATTGTACATGTTGCCTGCATTTATTGCCTCACATGAGAGGAACAGTTTGGATCTAAGGGCGTGTTCCTATGCCTCATATCAGGCAACTTCATATCAGACTTGCCTGGTAAACTAGCTAAGGATTGTGGGTTTAGGGGATTTTTCAGTGTGAGCCTGATATGAGCCTGATATAAGATTTTCAGTGAGATGAGCCTGAGGCAAAGGATAGGAACACCCTCTAACTGCATGAAAGCACAATATTTTACACCCTCTGACGTGTATCAACTACAACACTAATCAACCAGCATGACTCTATGTGCGCCAGGCCTCATCTAAGCAGCTGCACCTTTCGGATACACTAGACCGTAGAGCATGGCTTTCTTGATGGCATTCTGCACCTTTGCCTGGACCACCACAGGCTTATGCACAGCACCATCCTGTCCAATAATAGCTGCTTCCTCTGGATCTCCAATTTCCAGGAAATATTTTTCCAGCCCGCCCGGCATACAGACCACCAGCATTCGGGCAGGTTGGTCAGAGTTGTTGCGGAAAGAATGTGCCCGGCCAAGAGGCATGTGCATGAAGCTGCCCTTGCTGGCTTGGTAGGTCCTGTGGGGGTGGAGTAGGCGAGCGGGATAACGTGAGAGCAGGGAGGATGAGAACACAGAGATCATATTGTGGATGGGGTGGGGACATGGTGAAAATGGGACATGGGACAATAAAGCGCCAACAAAGGGTATAAACAAATGTGTCATCTTCTCTCTCCCCCCCTCCCCCCCCCCCTCACCTTCCTTTTCCTGCACCCCCTCCCCTCCTTCTCCCCACCAAACCTGCTTGAGAGCTCACTTCATGTCATCCACTCTCTTTCAAATCAACAGCCCGTATCACGTGCTATGGTATCATACTTTAACTCCTGGCCAATGCCCCACACCCCATCCATATAAACTCAAATAAACTTACTCTTTCTCGATCGTCCATGTCATCTGCCCGTCCAGGAGAAACCACGCCTCGTGCTCCCGCGTGTGAATGTGCTCCTCTGACCCCTCCCCTGCCGGAACCTCATACTCCAACACACTATAGGACCCTCCTGTTTGCTCCGCCTCGGCTTTAACTCTCACTCGCATCCCCATCGCGTTCACCACCTCACCGCCTCCCGCGCCGACCAATCCCGTTGCAGCGTGCGGACAGCTGGCGGATTTGTCAGTATCTGCAGCAGTGGCAGTGCCGGTTTCGTGGACCGTTTCTGCAGCAGGCTCGAGCTCAGGTTCGGGTTCTGCCAGCCTGGCAGAGTCCAGCCTTTCCAAGTTCCCCAACAATCCTTCTGTGCTTCCTACTTCCACATTAGTAGGCCGACCTAGACTCACATACCCCTTCCCATCCAAATCATCTACCCACACCGCCCCTTCCCCCCTCCCCCCATTCCCCCCTGGTTCTCCCCTGTTTCCATCCCTCCCCGCCCCTTCCCGCTTCTCCCCCTCTTCCGCCTCCGCCTTCCCCCCCCGCGCGCTCATCCCCTGCATGTCTCCGCGCACTGCCCCAATATGTTCCGCCATGCTGCGTTGGGATTGAAGGCTGGGCGCAGATTCCACCTCTGGCGCGCGGCTTTTTCCCCCAAACGCCTCCCCCCCTTCCCCCGATTCCCCTCTGCCTTCGAGCACCTCCGCCATGCGCCCCTCCCCTCTCCCTGTGCTCCCGTCGTCTTTCACATCTGTGACCCGTATCTCGTTGCGCCCACCAGAATTGAACGAAGCAGAGGGCTGTCCATCGCGGCGCCCTGCCACGTGGCGGGTGCTGGTATGCTGGCCCGTTCCCGGCCAGAACGACGCGGCTGCAGCTGACGTGGCAGTCGCTCCCACGTGGATGTAACGCGACTCCAGCACCTCCTCCACTCCCCCGTCCATCATGTAATGCGCCGTGTATTCCGCCGTGGAAACCGCCGCCCTTTCGAGAACCATCCCTTCGCCGTGAGTGGGCAACAGCGATGGGGAGGGGGAGAGGGACGGGGACAGGGGCGTGGTGGGGGAAGCGGGGGGCGGAAGGGTTCCGGGGGCGCTGCTCACGTCGGAAATCGAAAATTGGCGGAAGCGGAAGCGGAACGGAAGTACATGGCGCACAGGCGGAAGCAGCTGCAGAGACTCCCGCGGGTTTCGCGGAAAGCTGTAAAGTGCGGTACGGGGGTCAGCAGAAGGGACGGTTCCTCCCACGACCTGCAATTTCCAAAATACCGTACGTTAATCAGGAAAGTCATGCGCTTGCACAAAATATAAGGGGCATATACAGAATAATACATGTACAAGGCGAAGCGACGGTGGCGTGCCTTATTATGGAGTCGCGAACCCCCCCGTGATGCTCGGTGCGCCAAGGCGCAGTAGCGGGCCGCCATGGCGTGGTGTGGAACCAACAATTGGAGGGCTTGGAAACACGAAGGGACAATTCCTTCTAGACGATGGGAAAAGAATAACCCCAAAAGCACCTTCGAGGGCACAACACGTCTAGATTTGACGAGGGCCTCTCACGCGAACTCCTCAAGACAACTCTTGCTTCTTTTGCCGCTAATACAAATTTTAGCGAATGCCCCGCTCGTCCTATCTCGTCGCTGCTTGCAAGGGTGCTAAACTCCCTGTGAGGAGCTAGATGCGGTTACTCTCCCCCCTTATTGAAAGCTAGGCGACTTCTCTCGGCCTTTATTGAAAGCTAAGCGATTCCACTCGCCCCTTATTGAAAAGCTATGCGATTCCACTCGCCCCTTATTGAAAAGCTAGGCGATTCCTCTCTCCCCTTGTGAGCGTGAGAAGTGCAAGCTCGAGAGACGAGAGGAAAAGCGCTGGAGAGTAGTTGCCTGCTACTGCACGAGAAATTGTGGGAGGAGGAAGAGGAGGTGTGGCAAGGACTGGAGATATATCCGAGCAAAACGCGCTACACCAGGCAATGGTGCTCGTCGTCTCGTCACCACCATCCCGCCAAAATACCACGCCAGCCCGGCTCTGAATTGTCCAGTGTGAAACATGTGGCAGGTGGTTGGTTGCATGTCCTGCGCCGCGCTTGTGGTGTGCGTGCTTGTGCGGGGCTTCATCCGTCCTCTGACGTCGATTGGCAATCGTACGGTTCATGTTTATTCGAAATCCTCGAACGTTCCAATTGCAAGCACACCTTTGAGCTTGGTGGTGTGGAAGGAAGAGGGATGAAGGTCAGACAGATCGGTTCCTCTTGTTACATTGAGATTCTAAACGTTTCCAGTATGTTTCGTGATGTGATTCGTCGTAGCCACGTCGTTCGAGATCTTACCTGCGTCACGTCATCCCCACTGGTGTTGGCGCATTTTTTCAGATCGATGACGCAATGCATGCGTGCTGAGGTCCATCCAGCGTGGTTCTTGCTGTGAATGACGTGTTGACCGCTTATCACTCGCAAAATCAGAAAATGCAGAGAACTTGATGTTACCGCGCTATCACATACTCCACACACAAGAACAAGAGCCTACTCTTACTAGTTAGTCTCAATATTACGCGAACTTGTTCATGTTGACTCTCTATAAGGAAAATTCCTTTTTCCTTACGTCGCGTCCCTGCTCAGCGCGTACACCACTGTTCCCGCCATCAGCACCCCACAATAATCCGTTACCACTCGCGACATTCGCCTCGACCCCATTTTCGCCACTGTTCATGATGCGACCCAACCTCACGGTTCGGTTGGTAACACCCGCGCTCCGGACCTCCGCCTCGACATTCCCCAATCTCGGCACCAGGCCCGTCGCGCACCCCATTTTTCCACACGTTACCGTTACCACTGTAGCTTCGCTATATATTCTTCGCTCAATCCTTCGCTCATTGTATTCTTGTCTCGATAGTGCAATCCTCGCTCGCTCACTCAATTGCACTCGTAACATTGTCTGCAGTGGGGTACTCTATAGTGAATACAGCCCTGTTAGGGTTTGCTATATGTATCCCAATGTTTGCTAGTGATCCCCATTCCATTCATTCCTCAATTCTTTCACATGGTATAGAGTTGGTTCGAATTTTTCCTAAGGGCCCACCACTAAACTTTTTGTCTCCTCACCTGCCCGAAGCGCCCTTCGCGCTCGGCCTGCCCTACCCTTTCGCGGCCCCTTAGCGGCCTGCCCTGCCCCTTCGCGGCCCCGTCGCGACCCCGTCGCGGCCCCGTTACTGCCCCGTCGCGGCCCTGCCCCGTCGCCTGTCGCGGTCCTGTCGCGGCCCCGTCGCGACCCCGTCGCGGCCCCGCCCCGGCCCTGCCCCGTAGCCTGTCACGACCCCGCCCCGGCCCTGCCCCGTCGCGGCCCCCCTTGCGGCCCCTTAACGACCCCGTCGCGGCCCCCCGTTGCGGTCCCTCGTCGCAGGCCCCCGTCGCGGCCCCCTCGTCGCGGCCCCCCTCCCCCGTCGCGGCCCCCCGTCGCGGCCCCCCCTGTCGCGGCCCCCCGTCGCGGCCCCCCGTCGCGGGCCCCTCGTCTCGGCCCTGCCCCGTCGCCCGGCGCCGCCCCTGTCCCGGACCTGTCGCGGCCCTGCCCCGACCCTGTCGCGGTCCTGTCGCGGCCCTGCCCCGGCCATGCCCCGACCCTGCCCCGGCCCCGCCCCCCTCATGCCTGTCGCGGCGCACCGGGGGCCCGCGCACCGCCCCCCCCCGCGCCCCCCCCCCCCCAGGTCGCCACGAAAGGCGACGGGAGGGGCGACCTGGGGGGCCGCGCGTCGCCCCTTCTTCCGCCTGTTCTGGCGCCCTGGGAGGCCGCGCGTCGGCCCCCGTAATCCCCCCCCCCCGTAACCTCCCTACCCGCCATCCCGCCCTGCCCTGTGTTAGGGTTTGGGGGTGGCGAGTAGGGGGTGGCGGGTGTGTGGACTCCCCTGCTCCTCCTCCTCCTCTGTCTCCCACTGTTGCAGCTGTCGCTGAGGGGGGTGGATGTGTGGGAGCCAAAGGAGTGGTGCTAGGGGGTGGGGTGTGAGTGAACTTAGGGTGCAGCAAGGGGTGTGTGAAAGGGGGGTGGGATAGTTTGGGGAGGGTGAAGGGGGGTGGCTGCCGTGAAGCCCGCAGCTCCAGTTGCCCGTGAGACCGTTGCGCCAGTCGCTCGTGAGCCCGTTGCGCCAGTCGCCCGTGAGCCAGTTGCTCCAGTCGCCCGTGAGTCCGTTGCTCCTGCCGCTCAGAGTTAGCCGCGGAGCCAGTTACTCCAGTAGCCCGTGTGCCAGTTGCTCCAGTTGCCAGTGTGCCAGTTGCTCCAGTTGCCCGTGTGCCAGTTGCTCCAGTTGCGCCATGTGCCAGCAGCTTCAGCTGCCGCCCACTACCTCCTCTCCTCTCATAGTCCCTTCTCCTCCACACTTGCCCTCTGCGATAGCCTCTAGCTTTGCTTACATTTGTGAACTTTAAACTGTTGCTTCTTGTACTTGTGCTCAGAATGTGTGGTGACATTGTGATCCACCCTGAGCTTGCTTTGCTTTGCCTGTTGTGCTGATCGTACCCCACTTTGACTATGGGGGTGTGTCAGAATATTATGTTTCTCTAGTCTGCAGTGGGGTACTCTATAGTGAGTACAGCCCTGTTAGGGTTTGCTGTATGTATCCCAATGTTTGCTAGTGATCCCCATTCCATTCATTCCTCAATTCTTTCACAAAATACAGCTACCGTAAGTAGATGCCATCCCACATAGCAATTTTGCCACCAATTCCAGGAGTTAGACATCATTTTGTTTAGTATAGATAGCACCCACGGTCATCTGAACCGAACCATAAGGCTTTGTTTGCCAATTCGACAATCTCTTCACAAACCATTTTTGTCATTATTGTTGGAAACATTTAGTTTGCGCTTTTGAAGTATCGAGCACTGTAACAAAAGAGAAGCACACTCACAGCGAAGCAACACCGAGTCAACCAAAGCGGTTGACAAGGCGACAACAGCAGGAGGTTGAAGCGAAGGTCAAAGGTCAGCTACCTTTGACTTGACAAAGGCAGCGTGACAGCAAGGACAAATAACAGACTCGCTATTGAGTAGTTACCCGAGTTATCACTGTATCGAACCGCAACAGCAGTTACAGTTAAACCCTTCGTATTCCTTGTAATAATATAAAACCTTGTATCTTTTTGCTATAATCAATTCATCTTATTCTCACACACCAGTACAAGGTGGTTCAATCAATTCACTGATTACGCTTCCGCTAAGTACATCATCACTTCGAGTGTTTAGTCTTGAAACGATCCTAAGGACTTTTTCAGCCCAACATGGTATGAGAGCCATCAGGAAAAAACTCAACTTTGTTCAACTTCTTGCAACATCAGAAGACATGGCAACACAGAAGGAAAGAAGCTCGTCTACTGGATCTCTTGGTACTACTTCACCGCCAACCTCTGGACTGCAGACAGAAGGAGGCACAACTCAAAGACCAGCTGCTGAGTCAACTGAGACTCATGCGAACCAAGCAATCGGCATCGACCCAAGCATGATGGAGAAATTATTCTCATTCATGTCGTTTTACGAGCAACATCAACAAGCGGCACTTGCGCAGTCAACCAACAGCGACATCAACAACGGAGTTACTCCCATGAGTCTCGACGGCTCATCTTTTGCGCGCGGAGATCAACATCCTAACTTCGCACCGTATGTACCTCAACGCGGCTCTGTCAGCTTCATGCCGAATCAGCTCCCACCTGGACAAGAGACGAAGACACTGGATGCACTTCAGTTGCAGTCGCAATTCGCACATGTGCTGAAACTGCAAACATGAACACCGTTTGACGGAAAGGACTTCGCCGAGCTCGTGTACAACCACCTGAAGAACCTGAATCAAGCAACTGACAGCATTAATCAAAGTCGTCTCATGGCGCAATTAACAACGGTTCAAATGCAACCCGGCGAAAAGGGAATGGCATATATCAGTCGCTCTCGTGGCCTGCGCGATAGACTCCTTCGATGCGGCGGATCAATATCCGAAGAAGCGTTAATCACTGTCGTCATCACA